AGGGGGCCACGGACAGAATGTCCAAACACAAGTTGAAAAGGCGAGTAGCCTAAAGAGTCCTGGACACAGTCCCTCGCGGCGAAAATAATCCAAGGAACAGACTCATCCCATTGGGTGTTACTATTAGCGAACGTTCTTAGCATGGTTTTGAGAGTTTGGTGGAACCTCTCAAGTACGCCTTGAGACTGAGGGTGGTAGGCTGAGCTGGTGATGTGGGTAACGCCTAGCTTGGCTAGTGCTTCCTGAAAATGGTGACTGGTGAAGTTGCTGCCTTGATCTGTTTGCACGATTCTAGGTAATCCAAAGGTAGTGAAGAACCGGGTCATGGCTCTGACTACAGTCTTTGCCTTAATGTTCCGTAAGGGAATCGCCTCGGGAAAACGGGTACTTGAACACATAAAGGTAAGTAGGTACTCGTTGCCCGCCTTGGTTTTAGGCAAGGGACCTACACAGTCCATGACGATTTTAGAAAAAGGTTCTTCTAATACAGGAATCGGACTCAAAGGGGCCTTAGGAATTGTCTGGTTTGGCTTTCCGGCCAACTGACAGTTCGTGCAACTTTTACAGTAACGCGACACATCATTTCTCATTTTGGGCCAAAAGAACAGTTCTTTGATCTTCGCCGTCGTTTTAGTGACTCCTGGGTGCGCTGACATTGGATGGTCATGTGCCAGCTTAAGTATTTCATGCCGATAAGGTGGAGGGACCCACAGCTGGTTTTTACCCAACCATGGTTCGGCTGGTGAGGCATTCACTGGTATAGCGCGACGAAAGAAGAGGCCGTTCTCGGAGAAATATTCTCCATCGTCAGATGATAGAGATTTTTCGACCGTTGCTTTGAGTTCCGCGTCGACTTGTTGAGCTTTAATGATGTCTTCCTGAGATATCCTCAGGGGTAAGCCCAGACTTGTGTTTTCTGGAAGCATAGACTCCAGTTTGGGAGTCGAATTTCTTGACGATGATGGCGGGTGTGGTTCAGACGTTATGTCAGCCAATTGTTTGGTCTGGCTTCTTGTCACCGCACATGCAGGATACAGTTCATTATCATTATCTGGAACTGTTGACAAAGGGTCTGAAACCGTACAGGGGTATACTTTGCTTCCCGCAAGGTCATTCCCTAGAAGTAGGTGTACTCCTGGGACAGGAATACTATCTATCACACCTAAAATGACCTCACCTTCGACGAGATGATGTTTCAGGGCAAACTTGTGTAGAGGGACGACAGTAGATTTTGTCCCCACTCCCTGGATAATGGAAATCCTTCCGGTGTTCGTCTCAGGTGTAATGTCCATTGAACTTTTCAAAAGGAGTGATTGTGACGCTCCTGTGTCTCTTAGAACGGTGATATTCTTCTGAGACAACGGATCACCTGGTTTGCTAATGATGGCTTCGGCAATAAAAGATGAAAAGTCAACTTTTCTCGATCCCTCGAGATCGGTAGACTCGGAAGAAACTGGATGGTGGCGAGAACAGTCAAAATGTGACTGCACATAATGTGTGGAGACTTGACTACCTTCTTGCGGACACTTAGGGTTAGAGTCCTTTAGAATTCTAGAGTTCATAGTTGAACTGGCTGCTTGAGGGGATAGAGCATAGTGCGCCGAAGTACGCACCACCTCTCTGTTATATTGACGACGTTTGTAACAGTCTTTGACAAGATGACCAGGCCTTTTGCAGAACTGGCATACTGCTCGACGATTGAGAGTTGATCTTGGTTTCTCTCTGGACTGTAATGCCTTCACGTGTTGGCCAACAGGAGGATTGCTGCCAAAAAGGGGAAGCACGGGGTTGAGGCGGTTTCCTGACACTGGTGGTTTCTTGTGCACCAACATATATGTGTCAGCCGACTCAGCAGCCTTCTGGATGTCAGTTATCTTGTTATCCAGTATGTGTAGTCGTATCTCTTCAGGCAGGGACGATAGGAATTCTTCCCTTAGGATAAGTGACCTGAGTTTCTCAAACTCAGAAACTTCTTCAGAGTGTAGCCACCTTGAGAATATTTTCTCCTTTTCAAAGAGAAATTCCACATATGATTGTGTGGGTAACTTGCGGAGTGTTCGGAATTTTGTCCGATAGGCCTCGGGCGTCAGTGCGTAGGCCTTCAAAATGGCAGTCTTGACCAAACTATAGTTATTTTGAACGTCGTGAGAGAGTGCCTGGTATGTTTTTGCAGCTTTCCCAGTAAGGACCGAGCTCAATAAAGCAGTAATGGAAGATTCGGGCCATTCACATGTCTTCGCTAAACTCTCAAATGAGTTAAAGAAAACGACCAAATCTGTTTCATCAAATTTAGGAACTAATTTCCCAAATTTGGCAATCACTTGCCCTACCGACAACTTTTTTGGATCTACCGGAGAAGTGACATCACTAACTTGACCAAACTCTAATTCCAACCTCCTCTTATCTAAAGCAATTTTAGCCTCTAACTCCTTTTCTTTTAAAGCCTTCTCTAAAGCAATTCTAGCTTCTAATTCTATCTTCTCTAGAGGTTTCTCCTCGCGGAGTAACACCCCAGCCAACAAGCTTTCATCAAATACACCTTCATTAATAAAATGAACAACAACTTTATCTCTCAACACCTCTGACTTCTGCGTAACAGAATAATCCAATTTCAATTCCTTAACAAGACTAATCAACACTTTTCTACTCAACTTCTCGACCTCTTCAAAAGTAGGATTAGCCAAAAAAGACTCCATAACACTAACTTTCAAATCACAACAAGCCTAGGTTCACTAACTTAACACGGTGCGTTGGGCCGTGTACTTGACCTCTTCAATCTAGGACGACACGTCTGGCTATTGACCTAGATAACTCTATGCTTGCGCGCGTTGTAAGAACACTGCGCTACTGGATATAAAAACAACTAAATCCAACTAACCTTAGTATTTAACTGATATAACCAACAACTGGAACGACAGATTAAATCCCGGACGACCCCCCACTTTGTAACGTTTACCTATCTATCAGCCAAATAGACGGAGAACGTCCCCGGATTCTTTTTTCGGGGTCATATGCAAATGCCTTACGGCCTAAGTGGATGAACACTAACACAACGGCACACTAGGGCTCGAATTCTATGTCTAGGGATAACTAGTGATACTATTGTAATTAACACTCATCCAATCTACACACAACCTTTAATCAGCGAACTCAGTTGTGGCAAAACACAAGGCTGAACTAGATAAAATATTTAATGTATAAAATATCAAAATCCAACTTACAAAATGTAGGAAAAACACTATCACAGATTTCTACACTGTCTAAAAATAGCCACAGGCCACACAACACTGCAATAGCTTCAAGAATTACTCGGCGACAAGTAATATTATACTCGAAGACTAAATCAACTTAAGAAAGCAAGGCACACACACAGGACTTAAGTTCTCTCACGTTCAAATGGTCAGAGTCTATAGCCGGACAATATGGACGGCAATGGTCTTAATAGACTGTTTGATCAAGGTAGACGGCCTGACCAAGGTAAACTGCCCTGTAGACTGCCACGTGTTGCGAGTGTGCGGGGCAATTAAAGACTTCTGCAACAGGGGAGATTATCCTCAACTCATGTAGCCATTGGTTGGGATGGTCATCTGATTAGAATCATTCAATCAGATCTTAATGGAAATTTTCTGGGACCTAGACACCCTTAATACGACAGTGGAAAAACCCCAGGTGTTGCACAATCATTCCATATGAGGTATTATACAATGTCAAAATGAAAAATGGAACCTGACTCGACCTAAGTAGGTCACAAGTCGTAACATACAAAAGACCAAACTCTCTCAAAAGACAAGTCTTACAATACAATAGACCAGCCTCTCTCAACAGACCAGCCTCTCATAACAGACCAGCTTCTCTCAAAAAGACCAGTCTTACTATACAATAGACCAGCCTCTCTCAACAGACTAGCCTCTCTCAACACTCCTGTCTTACTATACAAGACACCACCCTTTTTCAACAACCCTGTCGGACATATCAAGAATTCAACGCGACAGATAATCGTGCACTACAGTGCATCTCTGATGCTACTATATACTTCAAAGTCATTAGCAGATAGCTGGCAATTGCTAAACTAAGGTCGCAACCTTATAATCTCATCTGTAGCCCTTGACCAGTTGTACATGAGCAGAAAAGAGATAAAAACTGTCATATATGAGCACCTAAAAGCAAGTCATAAATACACATTTTATAATGATTTGTCTGATGTTTCCATTTTAATGGCTTTATGTGACGTGTATCTAAAGAATACATAAAAAAATAAACACATTTTTTATTTGGTTGCATTTTGTAAAATAAATAAACCTTTAGTCATTATTAATGTAGTTAATGTGTTATGTCTCATTTATACAAATTCTGACAGCAAGGTTTATATTATTACTATAACCATTCTAAAAATGCAGCACCCACCAGATTAAGTAAAATAAACTGTGAGAATAGAAACATGTAATAAATAAAGCATAACCTTCAACAATTAACAAGTCTAGTGCTAAATACAGCCATAATGAATAAAACAGTCGAAAGCGATAAAGCCATATTAAAACATATGTACTAAAATTAAACTAATCACATAAAGTAGAATAAACTCAAATAATTAAAATATGAGCCCAAAATTATAATCTAAATATTATAAAGTGTTAATTATAACTCAAAAACAATAACAACTAAATCACGTTCATTAGACAAAACGAACGAACGTGGCTGAGACCGAAATTCTCGGTTCAAAACAGCTAAGTCTGCGCGCGCACAGATAGACGGTTTGGGTGTCCGGTCATTAACCCCCTGGAAAAAAAACCTGGACATAACCCCCCTCGACATAAGCCACCTGGAAATAACCCCCCCCCCCCCCGCGACATGAACCCCCTGGACCAAAACCCCCCATTTGAGGTTTATATAAGAAGAACCAAAGATGATGAGAACCAAAATTAATAATTAAAAACAAAACAAACATTAGAAAAAATAGTGTTTTATTCTAACTTATTCTAGATATTACATTAAAATCTTACCAAATGCAGCCGTCGTTGCACTATAATATCCTCAGCTACCTTATGCACATAGTCACAGTTTTTATAGAACTGACGACCCATCGCTGTAAGCCGAAAGATCCATGATGGCCACAAGTAGGGAGTTCTAGGTGAGAAAAGACATAACAACATCTCGTGTATAGTGGTTTTTAAGTCAGGTGGGGAGGGGAGTTGTAATGAAGAGAGCCCTTTTGTTGGGAGCCTATACGACGGAATACATTTGTCGCTGGCCCTTTTAATGGAGTCGCCTTGACGGAGCTGGTTTTTGACAAGAGTTTATTTGTCGGGAGTATTTTTGTAAAGGCCGTTTGTTACAGGACGCTCAAACAATGCACCATATTTATTGATACTTTTTATATAATGACATTAGTCAGTGAATGGTCATAAGGATTAACAGTCCTGAAGTGGTTAACAATGTGGACAGTGTATAAGTGGTCTAAATGGTGGACAGACCTGAAGTAGAAAGAGAGGAAAATATTGGAGTGGTCAAACGGGTGAACAGTAATGGAGTGGTCAAACAGGTGAACAGTAATGGAGTGGTCAAACAGGTGAACAGTAATGGAGTGGTCAAACAGGTGAACAGTCCTGGAGTGGTCAAAAGAGTGGAAAATTCCGGAGTGGCCATTCTTTCACACTACAGCTCGTGCAGACTTCTCTTCTACACAACAGCGTGTGTTAGTTACTGTAGAACAATCGCTGCTGTAGCAGATCTGGGTTTGTTTTTTTTTAGAAAACCACAATCAAGGTGCAGAAAAAAAAAATGTTATTTTGGAATACAAAAATTTCATTGCTTTTTGGTCGGATTTTAGATCCCCTAAACGCCCCCCCCCCCACCCCCCGCATTGCTGGGTCTGGCCAGTTCTGCAGCTTAGGCTACTGATTGTTTTTAAACTACAATAGCAGCTTACTATTAAAAAGTATAATTACAATTTCTAGATACTAAAATAAAGAAAATCTAACATTACTTATGAAAGCTAAAACCTGCGAAATAGCAAGATTTTAAGTGCACTAAAATAATAGTCATGAAGTTTGATTGGCATAAACTCTACTATCAAAATATAACTTAGTTTATTAAATTTTTAAGTGCATTTAATTTAAAGGCTTATGATAAAAACGGTTTCAATACATGATGCTTTCTTCACCTTGATCTCGTTGCCCACGCTTGAACAAGTTCCCTGGCGGCCTGTGCGTACGGGTGCTCACTGTTGGTTCAAAAACACATCAAAAGCAATTAGAAAGAACATGGCATTTTCTCTAACATAAAATCAAATCCATAAACTAGATCATGGAATGCTTTTTGTTTCAAAAGCCATTGGCTGGGGAATAATAGAATGTGTTTCTGTTGATCAATACAATTGGGCTAACACCGAACCATTTATTTCTATTTTTTAAACATGTATTGCTAAAATAGCAAAAAGTCTTGTGTAAAATGTGAATTAAAAAAGACAATACATGATCTGTTGATTTGACCATATTTCAGTAAAATACATAGACAGGTGGGGTCAGAAAAAGCAGTCTCTTAGCGGCAAAATGCATCTAAACCTTTTTACTTTAAACTAACTCAATAGTTAGCAACCAGTAGTATGAAACTAAATTACCCCATGGGAAATCCTTCACCTATCAGGGTGTCACCCAACATTAGCCCAAAAGTTGACATACATTTTTATGTCAAGGCTAAAGCTTGAGAAAGAGGGAAATCCGGACATGGGGATGGAGACGGCGTACACTGTGTAAATGGCCGGCCAGTATAACAAGTCAGGCGATAGAACCCTGAAGGCAGGTACCATGACGTCACACGCGGCGCCATAGAATGGCTCAGGGCAGAACACTCTAAAGAACTGTGTTTCGTGACACTTTCTCCAATTGAGTGATGAGAAGTAATGGGGGAAAAAGGTAAACTACTTCAGAGTAAACAGCTTCATAGAAAATTAATTCAAAGTACGTAGTTCAGAAATCATTAGTATTTGTAAACAGTTTTGTAAGAGATTGTCAATAAAGTAAAATAAAAAAAATAAAAAAAACTCATTTGTAAAAGTGGTCTGTATCTTTCAACATTTTTCTAGTATAGTTATGTGAGCTCATGTTATTTCTATTTTAAACGTATGAAATAAGGGGCAGCGGAGGTGAGTAGCTAAGCCTCCATGCTTCCCCCTCTCCCGCCACCGCGATTTCCCTTAGCAGTAAAATATACGTTGTGATTAATTAAGAATATACTATTATATAAAAATTAATACATTACAAACATGGTAAAGAGTAAAGATGGTTAACTATTACATTTTAAAACTATGAATTTCACGATTACCTTTGCTATTTTTCTTTAACTTATGTCAAGTACCCGCCAGCATTAAGGCAATTAGTGATGATTTAAAAGTACTTACCTCAACCTCTGTATATCGCCATCATAGCTCATTGCGCATTTCAATATTACATCCAAAGTACATAGGGTCATGAGAGGACAAATATCAAAACTTTCTCCACTTTCTGCCAGTTTGTCCAACTTTTCCTACAACAGCAATCAAAGCAATATCGCTCTAAGTTACCCAGATAGGAATTTTAAAACACAACAGAGATACCAAGAAATAAGTTGTCAGTGTGATTGAAAGTAAATATGGTGTTAAATCTTCTCTCTTATAGCGATGGAAGTGAAGAGAAAGATACACATCTATAAAGCGAGATTAAAAACCGTACAAAAAGAATGTCTGCAGCCTGGTTGTATATCTCGATGTAATGCTGAAGAACATCAAAGTAAAATGCTGGGGTCAGTAGTCTCCTGGATCTAGCCCATGTTGCGCCATTGGATGCAATCAGACCTTCTCCGATCCATGGTATAGCGTGCTCATAAGTATGTCCAAACCCTCGGGATTTCGGTGCTGTTCAGAAAGAATGAAAGAAAAATAATGCTCGTGTCAAATTGCCAGGAGATGATACAATGAAGTGTCCACCAAAATCAGACCCATCACACATATAGCCCAACTAAATTAAACCTAGTCTTAATTCCAATCTAGCTTAAGCTATTTCGAAACACTAATCGAGAACCTTAAGCCATCAAAATTAAAACAAAAACAACAATAGACGCTAAAAAGAAATCTCTTTTTCGCTCTCTCTCTCTGTTTATATATATATATATATATATATATATATATATATATATATATATATATATATATATATATATATAGAGAGAGAGAGAGAGAGAGAGAGAGAGAGAGAGAGAGAGGGTTAAGAAGGGCACTAAGAGCCACACATTTTAGCACCTGTACATTTTTGAAGATTTTTACTAATCCAAATATTTTCTAATATTGAAATGAATGCCAAATTATTTTAACACATCTTACACAATATAAAAATAACAATAACGGCTATTAAATTTACTTTAAATTAGTTAAATTAAGCATTTATAGCCATACCCCCAAAATCAGCATTTTGGGTAGATGTAGCCGGGCAATGGGGCATTAAGTATTATCTCCTAGTTTAGACTAACTCCACAATAAAAATAATTAATTTCTAACCCCAAAATAGTTAATGCTGTGTACACACTTTAACTGATACTAGCTATCACTAGGCCCCAATGGGCCCAGTCTACAATTGATACAATTGCAGGTGTACCTAGGGCCTACAGTCTAGTAGTTTACAGTTAGGCACATTAGTATACCTAATATGTAGCTAGTATACTAGTGTGTAGTAGCTGTCCAGAGTTAAGGTTCTTGGATGTAAAAAGGGGTGGTACTAACTAATCTGCCTTGATGCTTTCCCCTGATAAGCCATGTGTGCTATACATTACATCGATTAATATGACATGGAGGTGAGAAATGTTGAGGGGAGAGCAGTGATACTGATTTCCCACTTGTTCTCCCTGCTGGACCCTGAGGGCCATAAATTACATAACATGCCATCTCTGATTGGCTGATATCTAAGAACACTCATCTATGTTACCTACAAAAGATTCAGATATTTTTTAGTAAATTAAAAATAGGTGGGGCAGGGGTGGTTGTATTGCCCCTATGAAGATTTCAATGATTAACTTGAACCTGGGCAACAAGAGCCGCATAAAAATAAATGTTGTAACTTTACTAAAAATGAAAGCTAGTGGACAAAATTAATTTCTTCATGTAGATTTAGTTAATATCTATCAAATAAAACCATTATGATATTTATCTGTCAAGATTTACTCTGAGAAGGCACCCCGACAAAAGATCGCACGACATAAGAGCGCCGACATACGAGCGCAGACAAAAGAGCGCCGACAAAAGAGCGCAGTCAATTAAAAAACACAAGTTGTACGCTAAACGAATATGCGATGGTTAACACTTGTTTTAATTAAACAATCGGCGGTACGATAAAACGACATGTGTTTATTTATATATTATGGTTAATATGTTATGAATGTTGTTTGAAAATATTTCTAACCCAAGTAACACGGAGAAGATCGAATCACAGAAAGGGAAGGTAATTATATTGGTCGAATGCTACAGATATCGAAAGGACAGAGCAAATGCTGATGGAAGTACGACATGGAGATGCTGCAAGAAAGATGGCAGACGAGGACGGATGAAAATGCTGAACGATGTAGTTCTTTGATCATCGGAACACAATCAGGCTTTTGATCCGGCTAAAAACGAAGCAGCGAAAGTTGTTTCGGCTATACGAAAACGGGCAGTGGAAGGGGTGGAAAACAAGGCAGATTATACAACAAGCCAGAGAAGGAATTTCGATGGAAGTAGCACCTCCACCTCATTTGCCGGCTTACGTAGCTTCATAGCGTGCAATAGAAAGACAGAGAAAACGCAAGCAGCTGCCATACCAAGATCCGCAGAACGTTGCAGAAATAACAATTCCTGAACGTCTTCAAGCGACAACAAGAGGGCAACATTTTGTCTTGTGTGATTCCGGACCGACTAACGTTTACAGAATGATGATGTTTGGAACAATGGATAATATCAATCGTCAATACCCGTTTTTTAGTTAAAGAAACTGAACAATTAGTTTTTTAATGAAACAATAAAAAGTCAACATCAAATAATGCCTTCTGATATGAGTTAATTTTCTTGTTCTTATTTATTAAATATGGGTTTTCGATCTTTAGTTTGCGCTCTTATGTCGGCGCTCTTTTGTCGGCAAATTAGTGCGCTCTTATGTCGGCGCTCTTTTGTTTGCGCTCTTATGTCGGCGCTCTTTTGTCGTGCGCTCTTTTGACGGGTCACCCTCTGAGAAAGAGGAAAGAGCAGTGGGATTAATTCCCGATTCATGTTCTCCCAGCTGTGCCAAGTTGGTCATAAATTATATAAAAAGAATTCTCTGCTTCTCTGTTATCAAAAAACAGCTGTGGTTATTACCGCAGAAGTAGATTAGATTAGTAGTTTTATTGGGGGTTTTGTGGAGTGGGGTGCAGACTGAGTCCTAATACCACACGGCTCTTAGTGCCCTGCTTTACCCTATATATATATATATATATATATATATATATATATATATATATATATATATATATATATAATATGTGTGTATGTGTGAGTGAGTGTGTGAGTGTTAGTGTAGAATAATGTTCTTTTTTCCCAAAACGTTGTTCACAAATTTATTTAAATACGATAATTTATTTATTGATATATTTATTGGTAGAAACACCCATTTAATTATAAAAGTTCAGAACAAGTACTTTGTTTTTAGTGACGTCACTTGATTCATTTACTAATTTTCACAACAAACTTGGCGACTTCCACGGAAGAACATGTTGCCCATTCAAAAGTTTAACGAATTTGAAAGCTAAATTTTCTGTCCGCTATAGCTTCAACGATTTTGTCTGTTTGCTATTTTTATTAGGTTCCAATTTGATATAAATCTTTCATTTTTAGCTACACAGATAATCTAATTCAAGAATACAAGGAATTTATCTAGAGCCACGGATAAACTAGACTTAAGCCCTATTTCGTCTGTCCTTAGCCGTAGTTTGTAGATCTAGATCTAGATCTATCTAGATTCTAAATCTAGAATCTAGACCGAACATTAAAAAAGACGTCACACCTCAGACGTTTTTGTCTTTTTAAAACACCTATTTCGGCTGAGCATGGGTCTGACCACACTATCCCTTCATATGCTGAGGTCACAAAAACAGGTCAACTTTTAAGAGCAAAGTGGACAAATCCCGACACGAGTGGAGGAGAGCGGGGGGGGGGGGGGGGTGACACCATGACGTAAACCTGCTAATGATAAAGAAAAGATGCAACATCCAGCTGAATTTATAACCGAATATAGATACAAATCGTTAGCATTATCTGAGCACAGTTTAAAGCAATCACCGTGGGGTTGACGGGGGGGGGGGGGGAGTTACATCAACTCAACGTTTCAATATATATGCCTGAGGAATATATATATATATATATATATATATATATATATATATATATATATATATATATATATATATATATATATATATGATATATATATATACAATATATATACAATATATATATATATATATATATATATATATATATATATATATATATATATATATATATATATATATATATATATATATATACACAATTTATATTATATATATATATATATATATATATATACACACAATTTATATTATATATATATATATATCGATATATTTTTTTTCTTACGGGGGGGGGGGTTGACTAGGTGCCGCACTGGGTGACACTCAACCTCGCTACGCCACTGATATTAACAGAAGCGTGGTTAGGGGCGGGCAGGTGGGGAGGCTGCCACAGGCGTCGAACCAAAGTTTAATTAGTTTTAAATTTTTTTTATTCTTCCATTGTCATCCTAGATCTACCACTGTGTCGAATTTCAGCTCAATTGGACATAGAAAGCCTTAGAAAGAAAAAAGAGGAAAAACCTACCCGATGACTTTAGAATCACCTTTACTGTGTCCGGATGGTAGACGACAATTGTGGGCTGAAATGGACCAATCCACATGCGTGCAAATTTAGAATGTCTTACATCCATGTTGTATCGTCCATACGCTAATCTTGCTTCTCCTGTTTTTGGAAGCTACAAAAATTAAAATTTATAAAGACAAGCGTTTCTGCACTAATTAAAAACAACAACACTTTTTCAATGCACTAAAATTAAAATAGACTTGATGGTCGATACAATCTATAGGAGAATTTATGATCGACCACAATGTATAGTACACTATAGTAATTGGTCAAAAAGTAATGTGCTTTATTACACAGTGAACGATATTAGAGAAAAAGAAATAGCTTAAAAAAAATTCGACCCATTTAATATAGCATAGGAATTAGATCAATTATTACAAATTATATTCATAATTAGTCAACACAACACCTTATTAAATACCTAAGCTGATTAAGTGACTTAAACGATTCAGTTAAAAACCCGGCTACTCAATTGTATATCTGTTGTATTTCAAAATAATTTATTTTATTATTTTTTGCCTGGAAAATTGTATACATTTCATAGCGTACGTTTTGATAAGTAGATCTATAGATATAAATCAAATTTGAATGAAATAGTTCATTTCTTCATATTCTAAAATTGGACGATATGTGAAGCGAATCGTATTGAAGGTGACGTCTTTAGTATTGTGTAGCATTTGTGACATTCTACTTTTAATTCTATTTATTTTTACTCTAAAATCAATGACGCCATTAGTGTTGTGTAGTTTCTGTAGTTTAATCTTTTTCTTAACAATGTTTCATAGGGATGTTTTCCAATTCGTATCTTATTAGGTCATTCTGTTTGCCAGTAATAATTTTTTAGCGCAATTTCCATTCTGGAGAATTGCGTTTATTAACTCGTCATTTCTGGGAATGGATGGATGAATGAATGAATGTATGGATGTATGAATGTGTGTCCGGGCTTTAAGTCGTATCTCCTCCTCAACGAAGCGATATCGATGACTAGTTCCAAAAGCAATTATGTTAAGCAAGTTACGAGAATGAACATAGGCCATAAAAATTCCGGGTTTCTTTCATGGATTTCCAGGAAAAGCCAAAAAAACCTCAAAAAAATGCAGTTTTTGGCCCATATCTCGGCAACCAGACCACTTAGCGACTTGAAACATGTACCAATCGATTCCTGCTATAATTTAGAACAATATTGCCGAAGAAAGTTTTCAAAAATATCCTCTCGTTCGGTCACAAATTTTAAAATTACATAAACACCTACAAACCGATCGTTCTTCTAGCTTGAACGCACCCCAGCATTATACGTCAGAGCTATTTTTAGATAACATAAGGAAATTGCGCATAAATGTCACTAGACTTTTTTAATTAACTTGTTTGTTACTTATATGTGCCAAGTTAAAGAGAAAACGGTCGGTTAGAAGTGGTCGAAATTTCGCTCGCCTGTTTCGAACGCACGGACTCTCAGGAGTCTCAGTTTCCATGAAACTATATCCTTAGGAACTGATCTAGACATTTAAGAATGTAACAAAACCTACATTTTAAAAATAAAAATTTCGCCTGTCATACGACACTGTAGTGAAAATAAAAGTATAAAGTGAGAACTACTGAAATATAGAGTAAGAAATCCTTGCAGCATTGTCCTTTTGCGGTTGTAAACATGAATTCGCCATGTAGGCCAGAGTTAATGGTAATGTTCCACTAACATCTCAAACTCAAAGCAGATTTTAGAGGGGACCATTCAAAATTACATATGACGACGACAAAACGATCAATATGCAGTCGTGCATTATAAAACAATAGATAATAGTTTGATTTAAAAAAAATACAATCGCCATATTAACTTTGAAATGTATCCCTCTGTCAAAAGAGTGTGAAGTATTTAAAAAAATGTTTACAAAGGTCATTATTGTACAAATATGTTAATACAAGAGAATGTTCTGAACCATGCTGATATTAATAAATTAATTTGTGATATGCCAACGCTTCAGAAATAGTTCGCCGATTTTTTTTTGCTTCAATATGCATGAGCAGCTTCATACAATCATTAGACTCCCTGTTCATATTAGTCTTAATATTTTAATGAACATAACATAATAGGCCTACATACAAAGGATATTATCATTTTGAATATCTCAATAAACATAACTCCTTGGGGAGGGGGGGGGGGTGGAGGACGATTCGGGCGCCGAACCTTAAAGGGGCGCTAAAAGGGGTAGAAATTTTTTTATGTTCAATTTAAGCTGTAATTTTCAATTATTCACAGTTTAAAGTGTAAGTTAAGAAATAAACAACAACAAGGCTTAACACACCAATTTAAGTGCTTTCTACCTTGATACGGTAAAATTAAAACCCTTTTGGCTGTAAGTGTCATTGGCTGGTAAAAATAAGTTTTATGATGGAGGAGTGGCAGGGGGGGGGGGGGGGTAGCACATTTCGGCATCAAAATCGCAAGGATTTACGCCGGGTTTGTGAGTAGACAAACCATTTAAGATTTAGAAAAGAAACGAATTGTGTTAACGCATGATGTAGGCCTACAGCAAACAAAACCCCTAAAGAATCAGTGACCGGTAAAAATCCACTCACCAGCTTTTTATATGATGGGAGGGGGTTGGGCGACTTTTTCCCTACGTAAATCGGAGGGATTTTCGCCTGATTGGTTGATAGATAGTACATTGTTTAACCCTTAAAAAAAAGAAATCCATTGTATTAACGTATAATGGACGATTTCTTTAGCTAATGTTGTTAAGAAATGACGCGACTAATGTTTCTTAGTTAAAAGTGAGTAGTATTTTATGTACTTCCTGTCGGTCTCTGTGGCTTTAGAAGCAGGTAAAATTCCACCTACTCACAACGAACGCAAGAATGCTGTCAGGAGACTCGAATGCCTTGTGGTCATCTCGCGTGTCGGAGGTATTAGTCAAATTATGTTTTGAGTTCGCATGTTTTATAGCGTTATTTTGAATATATATATAGGTATGTATTGTTTTATGGTAGTTACTTAATCTGTGGCGGTTTATTGCTTCCGTGCCACTTGGCTTAGGGGAATGTGTTCAGGTGATGAGAATGGTTTTGATACACCAACCAACAATCACCCTCCCCCACCCCAGTCAGGGCTTATATTTGTCTATTTTGGCAGTAAGATCAGCCAATCAGAAGGCAGAGTTCTGCGACCAATGTGGAAAAATTCTGCCATCTCTAGCACAATAAAACTATACGAGCCGACCCGCGGCATAACATACGCCGCTATTTAGTTGTTTCTAATTTTCAATAATTCATAATTTGTGAATTCGACAGTACCAACGCTGACACTGAAAATATTTCTTTAAAACACTATAAGTAGCTCGTTAAGGACCATAACCCCCCCCCCCCCTTCCTTCCCTCCTCCCCCCCCTCCTCCCCCCCCCCCCCCCCCCCCCCTACGTTTAAAATCGTTGGCTCTGCTTGTAAACATTTATAGTGAACACAGCTCACTAAAACCATGTAGGGGTGGGGAGGTAGGGAGAGCGTTTGCAGCTTGTTTTCTAACGGCTCGAAGAAGAGAATTATATATATAGATAGATAGATATTTAAATTCAGATGATTTAAAATGTTAGCGGTTTTGTTATATGGAGTAAAGAGACGTTAAAAGTCCCTAATACCAACACGGACAAGATACAGATCTTCATTTCTAAATGCCTTAGACATCTTCTAAAATGGAGGTGTCAGGACAACGTGTCTATCATAGACCTGTGGAGAAGGACAAGGGAGGGGCCCATGACAATATAAATAAGGAGGACGGCGTGCTGGGTGGGGCACACACAAATGTGACAATTCAGGCACTTGGTGGGTGGGACCCCAAGGGAAGACGAGAGGGTGACAGACTTGAAGGAGCGGCCATCGTGAAGAGATGTAGATCGCCGGGGTCACGGTAGACTGCAAAATCAAGAGCCAAGAACCGGAGTAAAGAGGATAAAGTCATGTTGTGACATGAGGAGTAAAGAGGATAAAGTCATGTTGTGACATGAGGAGTAAAGAGGATAAAGTCATGTTGTGACATGAGGAGTAAAGAGGATAAAGTCATGTTGTGACATGAGGAGTAAAGAGGATAAAGTCATGTTGTGACATGAGGAGTAAAGAGGATAAAGTCATGTTGTGACATGAGGAGTAAAGAGGATAAAGTCATGTTGTGACATGAGGAGTAAAGAGGATAAAGTCATGTTGTGACATGAAGAGTAAAGAGGATAAAGTCATGTTGTGACATGAAGAGTAAAGAGGATAAAGTCATGTTGTGATATGAGGAGTAAAGAGGATAAAGTCATGTTGTGACATGAGGAGTAAAGAGGATAAAGTCATGTTGTGACATGAGGAGTAAAGAGGATAAAGTCATGTTGTGACATGAAGAGTAAAGAGGATAAAGTCATGTTGTGATATGAGGAGTAAAGAGGATAAAGTCATGTTGTGACATGAGGAGTAAAGAGGATAAAGTCATGTTGTGACATGAGGAGTAAAGAGGATAAAGTCATGTTGTGACATGAAGAGTAAAGAGGATAAAGTCATGTTGTGATATGAGGAGTAAAGAGGATAAAGTCATGTTGTGACATGAGGAGTAAAGAGGATAAAGTCATGTTGTGACATGAGGAGTAAAGAGGATAAAGTCATGTTGTGACATGAAGAGTAAAGAGGATAAAGTCATGTTGTGACATGAGGAGTAAAGAGGATAAAGTCATGTTGTGATATGAGGAGTAAAGAGGATAAAGTCATGTTGTGACATGAAGAGTAAAGAGGATAAAGTCATGTTGTGACATGAAGAGTAAAGAGGATAAAGTCATGTTGAGACATGAAGAGTAAAGAGGATAAAGTCATGTTGTGACATGAAGAGTAAAGAGGATAAAGTCATATTGTGACATGAGGAGTAAAGAGGATAAAGTCATGTGACACGAACCTGGACGTATTTACGCTAAAGATTAACACTATGTATTTTGTTACAGCACTTTTTACTACAAGTGATGTGTATCAACTTCACGTACGTGATTGTAGTGTGCAGAAACATGTTTTACGAGCTTTTCTTGTAGCCATATTAGTAGGAATGGAAATAAGCATTGGCCTACCTTATGAAGATTTCCATACAATAGAGAAAAATTTGGATCGCCGGGAAAACTTTGAAAGTATCGAAATGTTTGCCATACTGTGGCGAGTTGTTTTAACAGTGCAACAATGGTGACTGCGATGACGCCCAGGCAAACAGTGCTCACTGCCGTGTGACTTTCAAGGAGTTCCCAAATTACCATGATCACGTTTTAAACCTGTTTAAGATTAAATGAATTATTATTGATTAAAGATATTATTATAGTGTAAAGCTGGAACGCAATCAATGTTACAAAAATTGATGACTGGACGCGCCTGATTCAATTTAGTGAACGACTACAATACTACTTTTAATCCATATTCTATCACACTCTTTAAAACGAAAATATGCACCATGGTTCAAGGGAGAGCCATGGGCGCCAAATCGCACCATACCGGTGACCAAAAAGATGCGCAATGGAAAAAGCGCAACGGAAAAAAAGCGCAAAACAAAAAGCGCAAAGTAGGTAGGTAGGTAGTTGGGTAGATAGGTAGGTAGGTGCGTCATGATGAAATAAGATTAAATACATCACTGTATTTTGGTATTTTGGTGCGAACGGATGTTGGTGTAAGATATATAAAGAATGCATGTTTGATGACGCGGATGAAAGAGAGTGAAATTTTGCGATAGGAACGGGTTGTTATAGTATGCAAGCTAGGTAGTTCGGACTAGGGAGAAGGTAAGAGATACTCCGTGTAATGCCGATATCAAGAATAGTTTTATGTTTATTTAAACGAGAATAGTAGTTGAATAATATTGACCAAGAAAATAATAGGCATTGTATCAAGCGATTATTGCCTGTATCGTTGTGATGTGAATGCACATGTTTGTGTTATTCTTTAAATGGTAGTAGATCGCGTCAGGTCAAACACGACACTCTCACAGCAGCCATAACAGTCATGTATAAATGTGTCATCTAGTTCATATAGGTCTTTGTGCTAAAATTTCTCTTGGCGTATTTTTAAGTGTGTGCAAATTTCTGTTTGCGCTTTTTTGTGCGCTGTTTTCTGTTTGCGCATTTTTCTGTGTGCGCTTTTTTCTGTTAGCGCTGTTTTCTGTTTGCGCTATTTTCCGTTGCGGTTTTTGTTTTTGCGCTTTTTTCCTTTTCGCATCTTTCTGGGACCTACTAAAACTTACTAACGCCACAATTGATAACAGCGTAGTTGTTGTCCGTCAACAAGGACAAGGTCAAGCCAAAAATCGTACCGAACTATTTTGTAACTGTGACGTAAACAAGATGCTTCTTAACTGGGGTGACTAAAATTCAATTTGACTTGTTAACAAGACGTGACACTTGATGTCAGCAAGTTATTTTGTAGCCCATGCAGTATACAGATGGATCTACCAATACGAAATATTACGTAATTGGTGGTACCGAAATAGAACAGTTTGACCTTGACAGAAGTTGTTGACTTTACCGGATGTACAGCTGTGTGAGTCTGGTGTGTATACAAGCAGCGCTACTCTTGGGTATGTGCACAGGAACGCAGAGAGAACGATCGGGCGTTAAAATAACGAGAGACAGAACGAACTGTTGTGTACTAAGATTAAACACCTCTGTCGCATTTGAGTGCTTCAAGAAGGGGTTGCACAAAACCTAACAAAGAACGTCACACAGCTGACACATTTGGCATTGTCGGCAAGATAGAATCGAGAAGCACACTACATACAAACAACAACAAAGAAATAATATCACTTGGTCACACATCACACACACATTATATATATATATATATATATATATATATATATATATATATATATATATAAATATATATATATATATATATATATATATATATATATATATATATATATATATATATATTTGGGTTATATTTTATGCCATAACTAGTATAACATCCATTATCAGTTCAACGACGTAGCCATCGAAAAAAAAAAATCTTATTTTGGTACATATACATTTTTTAAAGAACGTAAAATGTTACTTTGATTTTTTTTGGTAACGTAATACTTGAGTAATCGGGCTACCTACCTATAGTAACAGACGTACTTTACATGAGTTAGTATTCCAAGTAGTACACTAGTTGTCTACTGTAAGCTACGAGTCATGTATAAACCAGCCTGTTGCAACAGCCTATTGTTAACCTGCAACCACAATTTAATCAAACGATTACACACGCCAGGACGAAAAAGATGGCAAAGTATTTTTTAATCAAAGTGTCATTTTGTGCATCATGCGCCCGACAGTACAAAGTTTACACTTGTTAAGTTTACACATGTCAGCACATTGATGTATCTGAAAGTACATAATGGCAGTACATAATGAAAGTACTAATGGCAGTTGCATCGATATATTTTATTGTTGGTTTGCCAAGTGGGATTTAGAATAAAAACTTTAAACTGAAATGTGAAGGAACTATCAGTACTATTGTGTTGCAGCTCAGACGTGTACAGATTTACACGAACACATGTTGACCTGGGCCTACTTTAGCGTAAGTAGGTTAGATTACGTTGTCGTTTATCTTTGGAGCCGAGCACATTTTATATACAACAACGGCGGTGGCAGGACAAAATATCTCCCCTAAAACCCAAACCATCCATGAACTTGGCGGGGTTCTCTTTAAAACTTTAAACTATACCCATATATTGTTGACACTGGCGACGAAATTTACGATCACGTGACCTTTTACATTTAACAGATAAAAATATTGAGCTGTTCTAAAAAGATTAGAAAAAAATGGTGTAATTAATTTAAAAAAAAATACCCTCTGTAAGAAAAGACAAAAATATTTGAACTAAGCAATCAGAATGGAGGGTGGGGGTAGTATCGTCCTTAACGACCCGCGGCGTATCATACGCCGCTATTTAGTTGTTTTATTTTCTACTTTTCAGTAATTCATAATTTGTGAATTCGACAGTACCAATGCTGCCACTGAAAATATTTGCTTTAAAACACTATCTGATGGTCGTTTAGGACGATACCCCCCCCCCCCAATTGAAAGCAAACTCCTCTTAGTTATCTCCCCTAAGTTTAAAATCGTTTCAAACTACATTATCTGCCCCTAATCGCCGTCACTAAACCCGGCTCTACGATTGTAAACATTTAGCGTGAACCACAGTTCACCAGACCATGTAGGGGTGGGGGTGGTAGGGAGCGCGCTTACGGCTTGGTGTTTTCTGTCGTCTCCAAGAAGAGAATTATATATAGAGAATATTTTCAAATATATATATAACATTAAAAATATATAGGCCTATAATTCACGGGTAACGGGTACCGAAGGCTAGTAATTACATAACTAGCAATGTAAAACTTACTAAAGAAAGTAAAACACGGATATTTTAAATTCTGCCTTTTATTAATTTTATTACTGTGTTGAACTGTTGTTCACGAGAAAGCTTACAAATATAGTTGTAGTGTTGGACCATCTATTGAAGGCTATTATTAAGAGCAGATAAAGTTTTTAAAATTATTTGAGACCAATGTGAGATAACAATATTAAAACCTTGCTATCATCTGTAAAATATATTGTCACGGACAGTTGCTTTCACAGAGCATATAATCGTCTCTCAGATATAGCAAGCTACTAATGGTCGTGTTGACTTCATAAATTAGTAATCACTTTTGAGCAATTTTCAATTACCCAAAATCAGTGGCGTCAATAGGTCGGTTGTCAGCAGCCCACCCTTCGAAAAAAATATGAAAATAAATTATTATTACTGATTTAAATGTTTACAACAATTGAATTTTTAAAAAAAAAACTGTTTGAGGACTGTATAGATATAGAAGTTTGAAAGGAAAGAATGTTTGCTTTGATGTGTCTTATTGTAATAACATACATTTTCCGATTGCTTAAAATTTGTATCATTTTAATTCTCTGTAATCCCAAATTCATTTCAGCTCTACTTAAAAAACCCAAATCCCCCCCCCCCCCCCCCCCTCAGCCCACCACGCCGAGGAAAAAAAATCCCTTGAATCATCATTTAATTACACATTTACATTTTCATGTTGTTTTTTTTATTTTTTTTTCATATTTAGTAGACGTTTTGTATTAGATCTATGTATAAGTAAACCATCTTAATAAATGAAAGTAGGCTACAAGAAAGAAATATTACTATTGTAAATCTGCATCAGTCCTCACAAGCCGATGATGAAAACTGTAATACTAAAGCGAACACACAACTGACGCTGTAAATTACATGTCTGAGGCGGGAAAAAAAGAAAAGAAAAAAATATTTTAATCCACCAAGTAATTCATGTGGAAAAGACATAGTTTTCATTGAACATTATTAGATTTCCTTGTCCCCCCTCCCTGGTAGTTGATTAACTTAGGGGTCGTCCATAAATGACGGTGTGATGAGGGGGAGGGGTTGTTCAGATGGTGTGACGTCACACTTTTGTATTGAAAAAAGCAATGCTAGAAAAAGAGTTTTAGCCATTATTTTGCGATTTAGAAAACTGTTTTAATAAATTGTAATAGGAATTTATTAAAAAAAAACCTCTTTGTGGACAGAGTTCAGACAAGATTTTTGAAAAATATCGATGTTTTAAGAAAAAGTAAACTGGAATTTTGAGGGGAGGTTGTAGGCTGAGGTGTGACGTCATTTTCGGGGGGTGGGGTCTGGCTTTTTGTGACGGAGGCGAGAGGTAAAATCGTCAAAAAAAGCGTAGCGTCATTTATGGATGACCCCTTATCAGTTATTCAAAATACTCAACAAACACCTCATTTTTCTCCTGTAAAGTTTGTAGTAAGTGTTACACTCTACATCCCCCAGGTGATATGTTAAGTGTGCACAGTTAATAATAGTAAAGATGTTTATCTAGTCAATTAATATAGATGGACAAACTCTAATTAATCACTAATTGAACTGGCAAAAAGCATATTTCTTCTATATATTTCACAACTTTCACCATAGTGCCACTCAGTGCGGTACGCATCCCACTCCAATGGTATTTATTCTACTTCCAGTTTTTCAATGTATAACTGAAAAATTAGGGGAAGGTCATATCCCTGTTTTAATTACGGACTGACTTTCTTGCTTGTTTTAATTAATTTTACGAAAAAGGAACCATCACTTTATTCACACACAGCAAACAAGTTATTTTAACAATGCCCTCTAAAGCTGAGTACACAGTTCATTCTTTTTAGGTACATAGTCTCTAGTCATTCTCCTCGTGACCAGATGCACTTCTTACAGCGACACCTTTTGCCTTTGTTTTTTATGAACTACAAAACTACAACTATTGTTGTGTTCGCAATTTTGCTTATTTGAAAAATAAAAAGAGTGGTATATGATATATGTAGGCCTACTTCCTTTAAAACCCTCTTAATTAAACTACAAAGTAAAAAATGATAAATAGGATTTCATTTCTTTCTTTCAGTTTTATTTTAAACGTATACACCACACACAACTGATTAGGTTTAAGTTTGAACTTGATGAATAGCTTTTGTGAAAATTAACTTGTTAAAAATGATTGCACAAGGTTGATAAATTTTCTGTGCTCTGTTCTAAGATTCTTATAAGTGCTTAGGGTTGATTTTAATTCAGCACTATTTAACTTGGAAGTTGAAGAACTTCTAGTATCAACTTGTGGTACTACACATTCTGGGATATTCTCTAGGAATTCTGAGTTTGTACTTTCTTTTATTTCTTGTTTAAGAACATTCAAATCAGATACTACATCCAACCATTCTTGCTGAGATTTCTGTAATGCCTTACTGTTTTTATGCACCAGTTTATTATACAAATGACCATCCTTTAATTCAAGAGGGGTTTGGTTTGAAGCATGAATACTTTGAGCCTCCAGAACACTATAAATTTTGTCACAACTCCCTTCTGTAAGAAGCGCAGCAGAAAGTTTTATTTCTGCAGACTTGGGTGATACATGCTCATCATAAACAATTCTTTTTATTTTTTTTCTCACACAAACCCTGGCCTTTTTCCTAATAGTTTGAGAACATGTATCCCTTCTTACCATGTTTGTAGATTTGATAGAACACTGTCTTACATTCAAGTGTTCCTTAGGAACACATTTCTTGTTTATCACAGCTTGTATTCTGCTTGTTTCTATATGAGTACTTCTTTCAAAAGAACATTGCTTTTGTCCTACACTAAAGTCTCTTAGATACATAGAAGGTCTTCTGAAGAGGAATTGATCAAAACAAGACATATCCACTCTCTCATTCAAATCGTGGCCTCTTGGTCCTCTAGTTGATGTAACAATAGGTACTACTTTGGAGGGTCTCATTATTGCCACAAATTCATGTAGCTCTGTGTAACAAGAATGATCAGAATATGGCACAATAAAAATTTTTCCTTTATTTACAAAAGGAACCTTTACACCTGAAAGTAATGAAATTAATTATTATAAAAATGTAATAAACATTTGACTCAGAAAAGGCAAAATATCGTGCACTAATAAACATTATGTTGTACACTGACATAGATGCTTTGTTAACTTCATTATAAAGCAAGTAGGCCTATTAATTATTATACTTAATTAATTTTGACAGTTATTTAAGTATTAGAAAACAGTTTAGTATACATTGTATATATATATATATATATATATATATATATATATATATATATATATATATATATATATATATATATATATATATATATATATATATATATATATATATATATATATAAATATATATGCAAAATATAGATGTTTACGTTTTTGAATATGTAAATATTATAATTTAAATTTTAAACATAAATAGAACTGACATTGCACTGAGAAACCACTGCATTTTAACACGTTTTTCTTAACTCAGCTTCGCGTTTGTTTGTTTGTTTGTGGGTTTGTTGTTAAAATTGACATCGAAAATTAGCCCACTTCTGATTGCTCTAGAGATCTGAAATTTGGAATGCAGGCTATTTTCGCCTAACAATTTCAGATGCAATCATAAAAACTAGCAATTAGAGACCTAAATTAGCTTAATTAAATTACGCCCCAAGGACCATAAAATCGAGGACATGATTTCTAAACATACCGACAAGACTGGAGGCCTATTGACACAGTTACTTCGGCCCCATCGATGTGAGCGCGCTGTCCGTGATCGTATAGTGGTTAGTACTTCGCGTTGTGGCCGCGACAACCCGGGTTCGAATCCTGGTCACGGCATGCAGGCTTAATTAAATTACGCCCTTTCTCATAAACACTTAGTCAAGACATACTTAATCAAGTCATTAGATAAAGTAGAAAATAAACTATATATAAAACTTTTTAAAAACCACGTTTTTCATGTGTAGCAACGGACTAAAAAGGAGAAAATAAAATACTTAAAAAAAAACTTTTTAAAAAACCACGTTTTTCTTGTGGACTAAAAAGTAGAAAATAAATTTTTCTTTTGTGCTTCCTCGAGCTGTGCAGGTTCTTGTGATGACTGACAAAAAACGTGGGTCGGGCAGATGGGTCGGGAAATTTGATGGTGAACGTACCCACGTTTTTTGTCAGTCATCACAAGAACCTGCACAGCTCGAGGAAGCACAAAAGAAAAATTTATTTTCTACTTTTTAGTCCACAAGAAAAACGTGGTTTTTCAAAAAGTTTTTTTTAAGTATTTTATTTCACATTATATTAACTGCTACTTTAAACAGAATGGAGCACATTAATGTCTCAATTTTGATTTACATTGTACAGCCCAGCCTGTAAGAACCTGAAAATAATTAACCAGCTTGATACATACTTGACTTTGGTCAGGGAAAAAAAGGCAGGTAGGAATAGTGCTTACACTATCCCTATGTAGGCTGAGGTCAAAAATACAGAAAAGCTCTACTTCATCTGTCTCTGAATGGTACATTGTTTTTTACCCTTTTTTGCAGGAGTAAAAAAAACTGGAGGTAACATTGTAACATAGTTGCATCTAGCCCCTCTGTTATTATTGTCTTAGCGAGTGCTATAAAAATAGTAATTAAATAAAATAAATAAAGTAATTACCTGTAAAAATAGCAGTTGGAATTATAGCAATAGTAGGTGTCTCATTATTTAAGTAGTTTATCAACACTGGAGTTATTTTATTTGATGAGATGGTCCATAATCTACTTTTCTTTGAACACATAGAGGATGTAGTAAAAACATTGGTAGAAAAAAGTATTTGGCAAATCCTGTAACTATCAGGTGAAACTGTTATAGATTCATTTAAAATAGTGCCTAGCTTTGCCAGCATGGATTCTTTGCCCAAGTTATGAACACCTATAACAACTTGATGATTGGAATGCTGTTTTATGATGTTTAGAATCTCATCAAAGCATTGATCCCGACTGGGGAAAATACACTTTGGACTACAAAATGTATTATCAATAAACATCAAATCTATTTTTTCAGCCAAATGACGGCAGTCTTGAAGGACATTGTAGGAAACTCTAAAGTCGCCAGTATAAAAGACACTGCCGAAATCTCCTTGAAAGTAAAACATAACTGCTCCTGGACAGTGATTAGCATCAAACGCTGTAACAGTAAAGCTTTGTGAGGAACAAATTTGTATTGTTTTTTCTTGATTAAGTGGAAGAACCACTAGCAAATCTGTGGGAAGCTGATATTTCAATTCCAAGAGTAATGCAGTGATTTCAGAACAATAAATTGTCTTTCTCCATGATGGTGTTAACCCGATGGTATGATCACCATGAAGATGAGTCAAAAAATGAATGTATTTGTCACTACTACCTTTTATATTAAAATAGTCAACTGCTATTCTAGTTCCAGGAATTAAGTGCCCATTCATTGTGAGTAGAAGTCAATACAAATAAAACAGCCTGAAATTTAAAAAAAAAAGTTAAATATATCAGTATAGTGAAATTGACAAGTAAAATTGCTATGTGTTTTATTACTAATGACCAGCATGGGGTTAATGATGTCAATCTTCATTTCTTTTAAAATATTGACTGATCTCTGTCAAAACACAGCGTTTTAATTAATTTCCATTACAATTTACAACACGCAAAATGATGGTTGAAATTCAGTTTCTAGAATTTCAAAATGTAAAAGTGTGACATCACACAATCTGACCCCTCATTACACATCATCACAAAATCACGAACACCCCTCTACCCCATAGGAGAGTGACATTTATGGACGCAGAGGCGTAGCGACCCTTCCCGGCGCCCGGGGACAAACTTTTGATTTGCACCCCCCTCAAACTTTTGATTACTTTTTCCAACCCATTTTGGCGCCCCCTAAGGTCGGCGCTCGGGGACATATGTCGTCGTCGCCCCCCCCCCCCCCCCCCATCGCTACGCCTCTGTATGGACGACCCCCAATTGAAAGTGAGGAAGTATGGCAATAAAGGCAAAGATCAGGGAAAAATAATGCAGGGATAAGAATTATCCTTCAGCGAAAGTACAGTAGTGTTTAAGTTTAAGGTAAAAAAAAAAGTCCAGAGAAGCTCATTAAGTTAAGTTAACGGATGAAGTGTAGCATTAACAGTGTTATGTGAAGCTACAGAAGGAGTTAGCTTGAACTTGTTGATAAACTGTGAAGAGAGTAAGTGAAGAAAAGTTACAATAGTTACATTACATGATATTTATTGAATGAAGTGAAGCTCTTTTTCCTTTTATTTAACTCGCTTCCTCTGTTGTCATAGATTGAAACTGCCAAGCGAAATTTCGAGCACTTCTAACTCTGCACGAGGGTCTAGACCCTATGACAATGCAATCTGATGAGTGTTGGGAAATTGCACGAAAAGCGAAATGGCGAGGCGGTAACTGCGAGATATACCTGCGGAATCCCGGGTAAACAGCGAGACACAATTAGTGAAAAAATGTGTTTCATGTTTTTTTTTTTTAATTTTATTTTAGTTATGAACTAAAGAAGCTGATATATCACGAACGTTATATTTTCTTTTTTATAAAAAAAAATTGTTTTGATTTTTTTATATATATATAGACCCTATTAGAGATCTCTATATTAAAAAATCTTAACATCCTATGACCGCCCACTCTCGTTTTTTTGTCAGCGGGAGAAAAAACCCGTCTCGACGGGGTTCATAAAGAGAATATTATTTTAGACTATATTTTTAAAATCTATACCTAGATATTCAAAATTCTAAACATTGTCGCATGCTTCTCGTCTGCTCACGTTTTCTAATCTGCTCGAGAGAAAAAAAAACGCCTTTTGAGGGGTCACAGTCATTGCATATAAAAACTTAAACATAGGTCGGTATACATGTTGAGCCGTCCCACTTTTACACATTAAGACTACATCGTGACAAGACACAGCGCGACCTTAATATCATACTACCTTGTTTTTTCGAGGGGAAAAAAAGTATACCCGCATGCCGCAACGTCATTTAAGGTCAATATCTCGGTGAATTATTTTTTGCTCGGTTTCAATGAGTGTACAGCCCTCCCCCTCTTCTCCACTGAATTAAAAAAAAAAAACCACTAACCTGGTTGTGGTCAAAAGTGTAACGTTTGATTCAAGAAAGGGAGAGGGTGGTATTGAAACAACGCAGCTGTTTCTTTAATAGTAAATAATAATCATTAAAAAAGTTTTAAAAAACCCACGTTTTCTGATTGAACTAAAAAGTAGAAAATAAACGCTATACATCACAATAATGCAAGCGATCACTCTACTATAAGCGATGAAAAACGTGGGGCGCCGAAGTAAAAGTTATATTACTATTGATTAGATAATACTATTGACTTTTATTAGGGAGCTTGTAGAGAGTCAACAGTATTAGAAACTGTAAGAAAATCACGGCGCCCCACGTTTTTGATCGCTTATAGTAGAGTGATCGCTTGCATTATTGTGATGTATAGCGTTTATTTTCTACTTTTTAGTTCAATCAGAAAACGTGGGTTTTTTAAAACTTTTTTAATGATTATTATTTTCTACTTTTTAGTCTTTGTTTGTTTGCATTAAAATCTTGCTATCGATTTTATCTTTTCACTTTTTTTGGGTAAACGAAGACAACTCGTAAAAAGACAACTCGTAAAAAGACAACTCGTAAAAAGACAACTCGTAAAAAGACAACTCGTTACTGACTAGAACACATAGATTTGAACCCGTGTCGAGTGGGATAGCAATCGTGTGCCCAACCACTCGACCATATCGTCTCCCCCAAACTGGCCTACCTCGTGTAAGTTTAAACTCGGTTCAAACTAAATTATCTGTCCCTAAGCCTGTGGCGAAGTGGGATCGTTCGCTTCACTGCGCGCGAGGTACGCGTCGCTCCTGTAAGTTTAAACTCGGTTCAAAGTTCAAGCTAAATTCTCTGCCCCTAAGCCTGTGGCGACATGTGATCGTTCGCTTCACTGCGCGCGAGGTACGCGTCGCTGGTTTTTTTTCTAATGGCTAGCAGAGGAGAATTATATATATAGATTATATAGCGGTCTAAAATGCTCAATAAAATGTTTCCATTGATCAATTTAGTAATAATAACAATTGAATATTCAATGGTCATCCAAAAGAAAGCTTCCCTGAAAGTTTCAGCGCGCTAGCTAACTGGGAAGTGCCAGAAATTTCGATCGCAAGATTTGATTGGAAAGACAAACACACAAACAGAGAAAGCAAGTTAAAGAAAACGTGGGAAAATACATTATACAGGAAATGTGTAATCTCATTACTTAATTAATAATGGTGTCACCCCCCGTATATATATATATATATATATATATATATATATATATATATATATATATATATATATATATATATATATATATATATATATACTAGGCATACTGCCTAGCTTCGCTTAAGTTTTCAGAAAACTTTGGAGAAATTGAATGATTAATTAATTGGTGATTGGCTGTTATGTGGAGTGCTAAGGGCCTAAGCTTGAACAGTCTGAGTAAATGTAAATGATGCAACCATTGGTGGAGCATTCGCAAACTTATTACTCGCTAGGCTATTAGAACTGCAAAGGTTTCATTAAAAGTATAAATCAAATAATATATTTGATTTTGATTCAATTTTGGAATAAACTTTTACAAAATCAGTACAATACATAACTTAATTTATAACAAAATATCTATTTAAACAAATGCTGTTTTTTCTTTTGAATAGTAAAAGCATTATTTAGAAATTATTGCTTAAAACGTTACCTCCCCTGTACACATACCAAATGACGTAGTCTTTGTTTACTTTTTCATAAACAATTGTTTATATATATATGAGAATACGGTATCTAGACAAATCTAACAACCTTAACGGGTTTATCCGAAGGGAATAATGTATTTTCGTTACCCTCCAGGGTCGGTCTACGACCTCACAAAATATCAAGGGGGTCGTTTGGTAAAAGTTTTTTTTCGTAATATAGCTCATATAAGGCGCCGGTCAGTTTTGACCCTCTCTTCGTGGACTTTGCGGCCAACCGGTACCGGCCCCCGTGTTCTATTGCCTGCCAAATTTGAATTTATACAAGTAAGTATGTATACGCATGTGTATGTATTCACATATTTTGTATTTAATTTTTTAACTCCCCCACCCATACATGGATTAACACATACGTTATTACGATTCTCAACCAAACCGTTTACCTCAGGCATATTTTGCAACGTTGAGTTAATGTAACTTCTCCCCACTCACCCCCTCCTCCGACAGCGATTGCTTTAAACTGTGCTAATATAATACTAACGATTTTTATCTATAGATAAATACATCTTGATGCAGCATGTTTTCTCTATCATTAGCAGGTTTACGTCATGGTTTCGAACCCCCCCCCCTTCCATCCTTGTCGGGATTTGTCAAATTTGCTCTTAAAAGACTATTTAACACTCTAATTAACCACTTATTTAAGTGGAATTATCATTTTTCTCTAATTATTTTGCTATTTTTTGCCTTGGTGTCACCCCGCTAAATGGTGTCACCCGGTGTGGTCCGCCCCCCCCCCCCCGTCTCGCTACGCCCCTGGCCTGACCTATTAAATATATTTTTTTTTAGTTTACATTTAACTCAATGCAACAAATCCGCCGGTTGGTTTAGGCCACACCGGGGTTCGTTCTGCTGCGTAATAAAGCAACATTACTTTTGCAACAATAACATTATTAATGTAGATCTAGATCTGTATGTGTGTGGCGGCAGGCGGCCACGGTGTTTCACACAAAAGAAATAAGTTGATCTATCGTCTGCGGTATTTCGAACAAGGTAGTATTTGAAGTCGACACAAAAGATAATGAAGTTAACAAATCATCAGAATGTCTAGCAGTGTTTCTTCCAGACTTTTTTTAATAGTGTATGTTTACTATATAAATTCCATCTGGTTGGGGGGGGGGGGGGGGGTGGCGGTAGATTTTCTTCCCCCGAAGCGATGCCTGGAAGAAACTCTGATGTCTAGTGACAGTGTAAACGAAACGTCTTTGATGAATCTGCATCAAATATCACAGTCAATCGGTCGCGGTAAAATTTTCGCAGATAGCGGTTTTCGCGCCCCTCTCGCAGTTTACCGCCTCGCCATTTCCCAACACCCCAATCTGATATCAAATTTGACTAAGATGACCAATTAATTTTTTTACAAAATTAATTGCAATTTTCTTAATTATTGGTATGGTGTCCTACTACTTTTCCGCACTATTATATGCTCATCATGTTCATTTGGTGAGCAATAGTTTTTAGTCATGAAACTCTCTAGGCCCTATATCTAGTCCTAGATCTATTTAATTTTTTTTGTACTGGGAAAAAAATATATAAAAACGTTTAATAACAAGCTTTTAATGAATTTAAGGTAATCTGTCGTTTTAGGTAGATCTACGTAAAATCGCCCACGACTAGATCTAGATTCTAGTAATGTGAAAAGCAGGAGACTCCTTAAATAATAGATCTATCTAAATATTAATAATTATTTCACATTTTGAGGAGGATTTAGATCTAGAATCTAGCACTAGATCTAGACTATCACTATTCACATAAGGTAACTTGTTCGTACATTACTAGATCTAGATTTCTAGATCTAGATTAGATCTAGATTAGTTAGCCGTGGGCGATTTTACGTAGATCTACCTAAAAGACGATAGATTACCAACTAAACTAACTTTATTAACTTAAGATTTAGATGACTAATATCTAGATTTTGAAATCTAGATTCTAGTAGATCTAGATCTAGATCTAGATTAATAAATTTATAATTTAAAATGTAATTGTGTACTGTAGAGGTAGGCTTTTAATATTATTATTGAATATTATAGTAGGCCTAGAGATTAGCCTAGTCTAGATATCTAGTCTATAAACTATTCAGTATACTCCTATATTATATAGATCTATATCTAGTCTAGATTTAGATCTAGATCTAGTCAAGATTTATAATTTATTAGTTAGTAATATTATTAATTAGATCTAGCCAATATTAGCTGTAGAAATATTAGGCCTACCAATTAAAAATATCCTGGAATGAAGTTTTTGTCAAAATTTCAATAAATTTAAATGATAAAAAAAACTGGAGTAGATCTAGATCTAGATCGATCTATATCGAGAAGTAGATCTAGAATCTAGATTTTTTAAATTAAAAAGATAGATCTAGACCTAGATCTATATATATAAGAGTGGTTTCCCTTGAAACATTTCTATGCGCATGCCTGTAGTGATATGCATTAGGAGTATCTTGTTAAGGCCTAAATAGATCTTATATTTTTACATAATCATCTATTTTCTCCCTTTTACACTTTTAGTGCACTATTACAATAAAGCTTTTTATTAAAACGATTTTTTTTTGCATTTTTTGTTTATAATTGTGTTAAACTGTTATATAGGTGGTGGTCAAGATCACTGTTATATAAAACACTTCGTTTAACACTAGCAATTCCCGCCAAAATCGCCAGAAGGCGGCGCGTTCCACACCGTGTGACGTAAAAAACAAAGTAAAATTTGTTGCCAAAACAATGTTTAATCCTATTAAATAATCAAATAGTTGGAGAATAGGGAGATAAGACGAGGGGTTGGGCCGACACATTCAGTTATCGCAGCAGGTGAACCCCGACCTAGTGACGCCACTGATTTCCTCTCCCCATTTCATGAAAACTTGTAGCAGTTGAGGAAATTAATTATTAAAATAGTAACATTTAGTTAATTCAACCAAGCAAACTTACAGTAGTTCAATAATTCACGTGTGAATGTATGTGGGTTAGGATTTGTTATATTTTTAAAAAAATTGGAATCCTTAATTTAGGGTCAAAACTATCCTAGTTTTGTGTTATTATGTGCACAATCACTATAGAACGGATAAGAAGAAACTTCTCACAACATCTATTACTACATACAGAGTTTCTCTCAGGCATTCCCCCCCCCCCCCCCAGAAAGTCTACCGCACCCCACCGACCCCCTCCCAAAGTCTGAAACAAACCAGCAAGCTAGTATGTTAATTGAAATTTCTTTTAGTACATAGTAATGAGAAAAAAAATGTACTTGTAGTAACTTGTACTATTGTACCACAGCATAGAGGCACGGTGAAAAGTAGCTTCTTCTAGACTTAGAAACTATACTAAAGTTGTAATGAAGCTAACAACAAGAAGAATCAATAAAACAATCTGAATGAAGGAGTCATGAAGTTTAAGTTTACCCCCAACAGCAGGCCCCCCATATATATTTTATATAGAAATATACTGTGGTACCTTGAAATACGAAGGCCATGACATGAGATTTGTGAGACACAAGCTGTGGAATGAGCTATAATTAGCTTTGTTATACAAGCAAAATTTGAGATCAAAGTAACCAGAATAGTGGGGTTTAATAATTAGTGAAAAAGAAGCACACTGAAAAATATGATTTATGTAATGACACTTGCTTAACTCCATTTCTGAATGAAACATTCTTAGAGAGAGAGAGGAAAGAACAAATCTCCATGAAGTGTGGCAAAAAAGGACCATTGAAGAGAAAAGCAGTGACGAAAAATAAGCAAAAGTAGCAAAACATTATATAGATCTAGTAACATTTAGGTTCCAATTATTTCATTGAAGTTTATGTTTGTTAAGTTTATACAACAAGGATATAGTGTAGCATTAAGTATTACAAGTAAGTGAATTAAAGTGAAGGAAAGAGCTTAACATTAACAGTGTGAAGCTCCTACACCTGCCTCAGTATCTTCAATAACCTAAATTCGGCTAATTTTCAATGTAAATACACTTTATAAAACCAGTTTATGTTTTCACATTAGTAATCATTGTTTTTAAATAGTATTTGTCATGTATAAATAATTTTTTTTTAAATTAAAAAGCAACTGGGGTGGCATTTTGGGGGGCTGGAACGAGTTAATGGTATTTCAATAAATTTTAATAGAAAAAATTACTCTTTGAGATACCAGCAATTCAACATATGTAGCAGCATATATACCAAGGTAAGACTGTATATATGCATATATATATATATATATATATATATATATATATATATATATACACAATATTACTAAATATATTGTATCTATATACATATTAGTAAATATATTGTACCTATATATGCCTATATATATATATATATATATATATTACTAAATATATTAGTATATATACATATTACAAAGTATATTAGTATATATACATATTACAAAGTATATTAGTATATATACATAATACAAAATATATAAGTATATATACATACATATTACTAAATTATCCTAATATATAAAAGCCCATGTGTGCAATTCTCTCACTCTGTCCGCAAAATATTTTCACAGGCTATGATATCAGTATCTTCAGCAATGTATGGAGAACTTGACACGGACTTTTGTTGATAATAATGTTAGATGTCTTAAATGTATAAACAAAATTTTATTTAAAAAGAAAAATAGAGACATATTCGAATGTAGAAAAACAATTTTAATTATGCAACCGGAAAATTGTTTATAGTTGTGACAAGAACGCATAAACAATGACGTCACAAATAATAATGGCATCATTTTCCGATTTAATAATATAAAAAAATGAACTATTTCATTCAAATTTGATTTAGATTTGCCTACTCTATGAAATTTTCTCGACCTAAACTTATATAATTTATCTATTTGGATTCTTGATCTAGAGATTCTAGACCTTGATCCTCATCTATGGAAAAACTAGACTCTAGATAGATCTAGATCTATTCCAATAATAAATTTCTATACTAAACTATTTCAGGCCTTAATTATTATATAGAAATCTTTGTTTGTTTAGCTATGGAATTGGCTAGTTTGGGATAAAATTTAATTTGAAATAAAAGGGCCTATTCTAAAGTTTCTAAAGTGCCTCTTTTATTCTTCATAACTCCTAAGGGGTCGTCCATAATTTTGTGACGGTGTGTGATGGGGGGGGGGGGGGGGGGGGGAGGAGGAGCTCTAATGGTGTGACATCATTTTTTGCATTATAAAAAAGCAATAGGAATCGATCAAAATACTCTATGTTGACTGAGTTCTGACAAGATTGTGGAAAAATATTGATGTTTTAAGAAAAATATTCACCTCCGAATGAAATTGAAAAAAGTAATTCATAAAAAAATATAGAAATACTGGTTTCCGCTACCCCCAACCCCCCCACGTCCCACCTCTGGACAGTCTAAAATGCCGCTCCCCGGAGATAAATATCTAAAAGAAAAACCGGGTAGCCTATTTGTAAAGAGAAGAGATCTAAAAGTCACCAGAATTGCCAGTGTAACAGGTACAGATGGCTAGTAATATATAGGGCCTATAGATAGTTATATATACTTATTTATACATATATATACACACACAAATATATTTATATATATACATATATATACTTATGCACATGTACATATACGTTCACACACACATATATATATATATATATATATATATATATATACATACACACACACACATTTTTATTTACTTAATTAATTACTACTTTTAGGCAGCCTATAGCGAGAACATCAGTTCTACAGTACAGTTAGAAAACACATTTTTTAGCAGCTATCAATAAAATATATAGATCTATTAAAAAATTTAATGTTTTATCCAGAATTGTACCCCCAACTCCCATATGAATAAAACATTTAGACCATATGCTGGTATCTGCATAAAAAAGGAATTTAAAAAATACAAACGGTTATAGTAAATTAGGTCTTATGAAAATAATGACCTTCATATCCCAATGTTTAATTGCAAAATCACATAAAATAATGCCACCATGACTTAAATTAATTATGAAAAATACATTAAATTAAAAGAACTGTAACCCAGCAAACATTATCTGAAATTCAAATTGAAGTTTCACCTGGTAAATAAAGTAGGTTATAATTAAATATATATGTAAAAGAAATTTTTTATGAAATGGAAAAGGATAAAATAATAGTCGAAAAATTTATTTTTATGTGAAATTTATCTCCAAAGTAAAAACAGTCGCAACCCTCCCTGACAGTACACCTATTTTAGAGTAAGCCTCCCTAACAGCACACCTATTTTAGAGTAAGTCCCCCTGACAGTACACCTGTTTTAGAGTAAGCCTCCCTGACAAATATGCTTGTTATAAAAATGCCAGATTGCAAATTTATAATTTCTTAGAATTGTATTTCGGATTAAGTCAATAGTAAAACCATTTTTCATAGAATGTTGGTTCAATCATTCTAAAACAGTTTTCCAAATAAAAGCAGAGATTACAAATGCTTTCAGCAGTGATGAAAAAGTCCCCAAGAGAACTTGAGTGACTCGAACTATTATGGTGGGTCACATTTGATGTTATCAACAGTGGTTTTAAAACAGTCTAACATTATACAACTATTATATCTTTTAACAATAGATAATAAAAAACAAGTATAAGCAGTTGGTATTTCAGTAAACAATCTGGCTACTTAAAACTTAACATTTTGAAATAATTGATAGCATTTCCTGTTTTAGTGAGTTTTTATACCAATAATTCTGTGCTAGTAAGAAATTAAAAACTTTTAATAGAAAATGTTTCAGACAAGATATATATAATTTAAGGGTAATAGCAATATTATAATATAAATATAATATGCATGTCATATTTAACAGACTGGAAAAAGATGCTGAACAGTATGTGGGCCTATTATTTTAAATACATAATCTGTTTTTCTAAAAAGGATTGATTTTATATATTAAAAACATATTTTTGATTATATTATTTAAAAGATAACCAGTTTTTTACTTGTGTAATCATGTGAGTGTTCAAATAAAAGTACTTAGACCCTTAATTCATTTTGATTTTATTGTGTACTGATATTTAGTTTATTTAAATACTAGCAGCAAATACCAGAAGCTGCATGGGTTTTGGAAAATATGTACAATTTCAGTTAAATGTAAATATGCAAACATGGACGCTAAAGAAAGAAAGAAATATATATATATACATATAGGCCTATATATATAACATAACCCTAACCACAATCTGAAACATAAATATATTCCTAAAATGTAAATTAATACTACTAGATTGAATAATCATTTTGTTTTCATCTAAATACTTGCTCATCTTGATTCATTTTCCACAAGACACCATTATATATATACAAGCCAACCCGCGGTGTATCATACGCCGCTATTTAGTTGATTGTAAAATGTAAACATTTAGCCTGAACCACAGCTCACCTGACCATGTGAGGGGGGGGGGGTGGGGGTGGGGGTGGTAGCAATAGAGAGGAAGAGAGGGGACTGTAAGGCGCGCTTGCAGCTTTTTTTCTAACGTCTACCAGAAGAGAATCATATATATAGATGTGTATATATATATATAGATGTGTATATATATATATATATATATATATATATATATATATATATATATATATGCATGCTGTATATATATAGTATTTGTATTAATGGCAAATCATATATTGATATTTTTTGTACTACTCTTTTTAATTTCACACTTTGCCCAAAAGAATGTTTGTTATTTCAAGAATATCTGGGCATTTTATACAATGCATAGGCAAAGTAAATAACAACACAAATATTTCACACTTTGCCTGTAATTTAACTGAACATGAAGGTTGATTGCCCAAAGAACTAATGGTCAAAAAGCCAATTGCTAAAAAATACAAGTATTTTTTTATCAACTGAAAGTTTTTAACTTTTTTTTTTTCAGTTATGAATTGCGGTTTTCATATAAAATAGAACAAGTTTGTCAATAGATCTTATAGTTTTTGTTTATATTTTACAGTTATTTCTAAAATAAAAACAATAGATTTTTTTCTCTCCAAAATACATACATTTTTCAGAACATATTTTAATTTTATCAAATAAAAACTTAACTTCAGATTGAAAAGTCCTCCAATATAGTTTGACTGGGTGGAACAATCATTTACTATTGTCTGTTATTCTTTGTAGACAATCATAGCTTTTTGTGTGTTTTGGTTGTGGCATTTTTTTAGCTGGGGTTTTGTCTTCAAATAATTTAGCAGTTTATATCTGGAGAAGGTTATGATCAACATTGTCTGAGATTTGTGTTAAAGTTCCAAAATGGTGATACTATGCTTTTATTTAATGCAGCATCAATATCTTTGATAATTTTACCTTTCACGAAAAATAAAACTGTGTACCCTATTTATCAAATTTATGTACTACCTTTCTAAAACATAAAAGCTTTAAAGTTATTTAAACATCTCAGCCATTTTTAGTTGAGTTGACCATGACAGCCTGTTGAACTCAGTCAATCACCTAAATAATGAGGGTTGATTGGTTGCATAATTTTTGTAACAAGCAGGTCTATTGCTGACATCATAGGGGCAATTTTGGTGATTTCTTTTTAAAGCAACATTCAAGCATATGTGTTGAGGTAGTATTTCATGGGTAATTGGTGTTTCAGGAAGGACAGTTCAAAACTGACAATTAACTTCTTTGATTTCAATTCAAAGATGCTAGTTTATAGTTGGTTATAAGCTACCATTTTATGTCCATCCCCCATTCCTAAGGAAAGGGGCATAACTCAGCCATAGAGAGGGTTTTAAAAATATCTACAAACAATTCTACACGTTTGTGTAGTTGAAACCTTATAAAATAAAATCTAAGTAAGCTGGATGCATAAAATTACAGTTTTAAAATAATTTCCAAGAAAGAAAACTATAACAGCTATGCAAAATGTAAGTTTACAAGGCTACACTGTATATTACATGAGTATCAATCATTATAAAAAGATTTAGGAAAATTGAAATCTGTCAACTAAAAATATGAAAAGGTGTACAATTAAAACATTCCTTTTGGTATTCTTGACATTTTTAATAACTGATTAAAATCTTGAGATGTTTAATGGAAAGAAACAATCTGATGTGAAAGGGAGTGATTTGCCAGTCTAATCATATCTGATATAAAACATAAGATGAAGTTTAAATCATTTGTTGTGTAATTATTACCATACTCAACTGTATTACTTTATATCTCTAGCAAAAAAAGAATCAAAGCTTCTGCTGTTTTGTAATATATTTATATAGATTTTTAAACACTTTCTTTGTGATCTTTCTTAGAGAAACAGACCCTGGGGCAAATGTTTTTCTGTGTTAACTCTGCTTCAGCAAGTGGCTAAATACATGTTTAGACAAACATATACACTGTCAACATTTTTAATAAATACTTTTCATCTCTTTAACATTTTTAAAAGCCCATAATACAATTTGTTTATTACAGTGGTGAACATTAGGAATTATTTTAACATAAAAATAACTTCCCATATTTTTTATGCACAAAAATACAATGGTTAATAAGCGTTTAAATAAATAATACTATTTAAGTGTATTTTAAAATGGTAAGATGTTAAACCAGTGAACATAAATTATTCAATAAGGGCAGGTGTGCAAGTATGGCTGGTGTTCAGAAATCAGGATGGGGTTTTTAACCTAGTTAAGTTTTTAGGGACTCAGAGATTATGAGTGTTGCAAAAATGGAAAACACATTTGTATGCAAGTACATTTCTGTAATTAAACAACACAAATATTTAGTGAGAGTGGAATGTCTTAAGGAATTTTTAAATCAAGCTTAACTATCAAAAGCTAACTAGCTCTGTACAGTTGTTTATTGAGTGTGTGAGATGTACACACAGTTCTCAGGGATAAAGGTGTAGTAGGGTTGAAGGCAGTGGGTAGCTTGTGCTCTTGTTGGCAGTTAAAACTCTGTCTCTGAACTGGTGCTTGTCAACCTGTCTCTACCTGTACCTATACAAGCAGCATTAGTTGGATACAAGAGGTTGTAACAGGATCCCTTAGGGCTGGATGAATGGACAAAACTTTGACTTCTCTCTACAGGTCTTGCAGTTATCTCTAAGCTTTTTGATGTTCGTGGAATAAAGTCAACCTGACAACCTTTGTCTTCATGGAATACATCCTTCTTACAGGACATGCAAAGAAACATGCGAGGGAAACTTTTGCGCGGATCTCTTTGTGTTAGGACTCGTGCTATTAAGGACATTGGAACAAAGCCTTTCGTGGCATCAGTATCAAAAGGTGGATCTTTTTGTTTGTGAATGTTCTGGCTAAGAGAATAAACCATTGCACAAGGGGGAAAGGTTGCCATGGGAACTCGTACAAGCTTTTGTTCTTCTTGTCCTCCCATTACACCATTTTCTGCTGCAAGAATTTCTTCTCTTGTCATGTGTTGCTTTAATCTGTCCTGCAGGTCCACAGGCAACTAAACAGAATGACAAAGCCAGTCAAATATCTATAGATTGCAGAGATCCCAGTTTAGACTAACTGTTTATTTTTAATGTATTTTCTAATAAACAACACATACAATTCTTTACTTACAGTGGTCAACTTATGTGCAACAAAATTTGATGGCTTGCATTGTAACAACTGAACCGCAGTGTTGCAATCCGTTCTATATCTTTCCTGCACATAGAACAATATAAATTGAATGAGCTATGGTTATTAAGGATTAATATAAAACTTAATATCTAACTTGTTTTCTATGGCTGTACCTCTCATATATTATTACACTAGAAAGCAGGAAAACCATTTATGTTTCGGTAATACCATAGTTAATAATTAAAGTGTATTTAAGCTTAATCCCCAGATTATTATCATAATTTATTAGCTGAAAATGTAATCTTCACTGTAGTAACAAAACAAACTTGAAACTGTCACAAGTATGTTTTTGCTCCTAATTGATGTATAGCTTGTTTATATATTTAAATATCCATGATTTTTGTTGCAACATTTTTTCAAAAGGCAATTGTTATATAATCATTTGTAAATAGTTATGGTAAATCTACAGAATCAGTTGTTGTCATGCTAGTCTATACCGTATAAAAAAAAAAAGATAAATGTTCTATCCAATCTTACCATGTTTAATGTTGTATAATGTTTCCATGTTTAAGACCCCACCAACCATGACACAGATAATAACACCTAAAAATATTTTCAGTATTTTGGTATGCATTTGGTCACTTCTTTATTTAGATTTTTTTGGGTACTTTCTTGGTAGATTGAGAATAGAAAGGTTATAGACCTTAGAAACATTCTTACGTGTTACAGCGTTGATTTTTAACTAAGACACCTAACCATTCTAATAACTCTTTTTGCAAAAACTGACAAAAAATGTAATCATGATCTTCTTGTACTTTCTTGCACAAATAAAGATGCATATTAACTAACATTTTAAAGCTATACTGTTGTCTCTTAAAGCAGCTGTGGAAATTCCTGCTACAACATAAAAATGTCATCAATGTCAAAATGTTTGTCATCAAAATCAGAGCAAACTCAATTTAACATTAGACAAAATGACGTCATTAAGTTGTCTGGGTCAGACAATTTCTTTTTTCAATGATTTATTTTACATCTTAATTCTTATAACATTAGAGTTAAGCTAGAGAAAACACAAATAAAAATAACAATGTTTTAGCTAAGGCAGCAAAAAAGTAGGGGTAAAAGATATATTTTTGTACATTAAGGAAGACATTGTGCAGGTTTCCATCATCAATACAACTTAAGAAACTTAAATTTTGTAAAATCATACATATTTTTCTAAATAATTTAGACTACATTGCTATACTTCCTTTGCTGTTGAGGAATTGGAACCAATGTTTTTTAAAATTAAGCCTCACCTAGTTATAGGTCCAAAACTGTTTATCTAACATGCATATGTTTGAAATTTGATGATAAGATTAAAATAACAAATTTCCACTAAATGTCCTGGGCACTGAATTGAAATGATGAGCCACTCTAAGTAGAACAGAAATTTACTATAAACGTTGGATTTAAATAAGGTTAATACCAGAAATGGAAACAATACTGATACAGCTGTAGCTGTAAACCAGTATTAGCCTACACTAAAATCACATCTCTATGTAGTTCAATACTTTCAAACTTGTACAAATAACCCCCACTCAACTTTAAACTCAGTCCTATATTATTTTAATCCCTATTTTTCTTGGATATTAATGCCATTTCTTCAATTTTATGCTTACAATTAAAACATCAATAAGCATTTTTATTCAGTATATCCAGATTTAAAAAAAATATTTTGCTTTCGAATAACTACAATGTATCTTCTATTATTTTATCCTTATATGAAAACAAACCAAAGGTAGTAATTTGTATGTTTAATGTCATAAAATATAAATTTTTGTGCCTGTTAATGAAAATATGGCAATTCACTTTTTTTGAAGTAAGTAGTAGGTAAAGTTACCTTTTGAAACCTGATGCTACAAGGGGAAAGTTAAGTAGAGTTCACCTCTTTCTGTGACCTGGGCATATAAAGGTCAAAGCTAGGCCCAGCAGTCTTAACTTTCCCAAGTGTGAGTTAGGTACCAATCAGAGACTTGACTTGAGCACGGATTCGAACTCGAGACTTTTGGGCTAGCAGTCTAGCGCTCTACTGCGAGGCCTTATCGTCCTAATTTTGTTATTTATAATTACGTTAATTAAACTATTTAGTTGAAAATTAAACCGACATTTTGGAAGTAATAAATATTGAATTTTTATGACATCGATTTTAATTTATGTATAAAAATTGAAACCTTAAAAATATAGCAAATTGGTGATCCAAGTGGAGTTTTTTACTAAATGAAAGTCATCCGCCAGCCTGCAACCCACAGAGTACATATCATCTTTTATTGTATAGATTTAGCTGTTTTTTAATATGAACAAATTAAACTTAAGCCCTAGCAGCACTGCCATTAAAATTGTTGAAGTATTTTTTTTAGAAACTTCATGTTATAGAACAGGAATGTCCTCATGGAGACAATCCTCTCTCTGCCTCCATCCCCCACCCACTTGGTACATTTCATCATAAGCATCATCAATTATTTATCCCTAATAATTTTATGGCACATATTTGTATTTGTAATTTTAAATGTAGGGATTAAATATTAAAAACATAAGATGTACTTACACTTTCTTCATCAAGCTGATGGATGAGAACTCGAGCTTCTACAAGTTTATTCATGACAGTGGTAACTTCATGTTGGAGGGATAACTTCTCTGCCTCAAAGTGGCCAACCTTAACACAAAAATGTATTGAAATCAAGGCTGATCTTAATACAACTTAGCCTCTTGTCAAATCAAAATATTATTGCCAAAATTTTCTTTCAAGTCAAACAGAACAAAACAAGGATTTTATACTAAAATTTAAGACTGATTGATCTATTTTATTTGGACTAATGTTTAAAATATTAAATGTGATCTAGATTATTTGATTTGGAGTGTTCCTTCTTTGAATTTAGATTTTACATTTACTTAAAATTTTTTTTGGTTATGTTTGATATCTTTTTACTTTCTCAAATATACGGAGTATAGAGAAAGTATTGTAATCGTGCACAAAAATAACAAGAAATTTTGACAGTTTTCACAGTTTTACTCCTCAGTCCTTCATCAAATCCGGAGTATAGAGGACTTATTTTAATCAGGCAAAAATTATAAATACAAATACATAAAAGTTTTGGCGTTTTATGCGTTATCGAGTCGTAAAAACTGGACTTGGTAATTCTGTCCGTATGTCTGTCTGTGTGTAAACACGATAACTTGAGTAGCGTTACAGCTAGGTTGATGAAATTTCATATGTAAGTATTTTATCAAAATCGTAGATCCTGATCAACTTTTGAGCGATTTCCGATAACCGGAAGTGGTACTTTTTCTACTATGAATTTTTCAAAAGCCTATCAGTTGCGTACTATTTTAGATAAATGCATGAAATTTCACACGTAAGTAAAAGATCTAATTCTCTACCTTCTGTCAAATTTTGAGTAATTTCCGTTGACCGGAAGTACTAATTTATGCTATTTCCGATTTCTCAAAAAACGCATGTAAATTTATAAAGTACTAATAATATCCCGCACTTTTATACAAATTTTATTAGGCGTTCACTTGGTGTGGGACGGAGTGGTCTAGCGGTAGAGAGCTGGACTGCTAACCCGTTAGTGTCGAGTTCGAATCCGAGTTCAAGTCAGTAGACCGTCCCTGAGTCCACCCAACTCTGATGGGTACCTAACTCCTGTTAGGGAAAGTAAAGGCGGCTGGGCATAGTGCTGACCACACTATCTCTTCATATGCCGAGGTCACAGAAACAAGTGAACTCTACTTCACTTGCCCCATAGACCGTCAGGTTTGAAAGGGAAACTTTTCACTTGGTGTGCAATTCTTTTTTTTACGAGATTCTATTCTATTATAAAAAGTTTAAGTAATTAAAAATGGATAACAAATATTGTCTATGTCCTGAGTTGCCATCCCTCGTAATTTTATATTAGAATATTCGAGAAAGTTTAGGGGAGATCACTCCCGGTTTATTTAAACCTGGTTTTATATTTACCTAGTAGTTTTAGTCAAGACCTCCACTGGATGGAGTGGTGCTAGCTTTAAGGTCACAAGTTTGGATCTTGGTCCAGACTTGTGACTAAAAGATGTCACTGAGTCCACCCAGCTCTGATGGGTGCCTGACTATGTGAAACTAAAGGCAGTCGGGAATAGTGCTGACTACACGGATGTGACCAGAACATGAAAAAAATGTGAAATTTTTTTTCGGAATGGACTTAATAGTTTAAAAAGTTCACAACCTTATTATACTAATTAATAGCTTAATAATATAGCTAATAACTTTAATAAAAAAAAGTTTATGATACCCTTATAGAACATTGAAAGAAAAATGAAAACATTTTTCAACATAATAGACATATACTAAACTGTAATCCCCTATTTGCATTCCTGTTTTTAATTTAGCGATTATGTATTTTCTTAAAGATGGACATAGTATCCATTTTTTTTTAAATGTAAGTCTTCAAAAGCATAACTGTAATTTTAACTTTTTAGCTCATGGCATGGACAATGACCAGAATAGCCTAACAGTAATCAGGAGAAGGTTTCTGTGCTAAAATATTTTTTTAATTAGGAGGGGCAGTGCCCTGGCAATCGGGTGTGGTTTGGCGCCCTGGATTCCCCAGTGCCTATTTTAGCTACCATAACTGTTGACCAAATTATATTGGGGGCTTCTTCCAGTTATGATGATTTCACATAAATGACCAATGCTACAAGAAGTCTATTTATTATAGTCATTTTTTTCACAAGGATTTCAAAATGAAGTTAAAGTTACAAAATGAAGTTAAAAGCAGTGGGAATTTAGGTAGAGAAGGTAGCTAGCAGATTAGAAAATAAGTTGAATTAAAAATAATGGTAGATAAATTACACCTAGATTTTACAGATGAGAATGGCAAAATATAAAAAATATGTGTGTAAAAACAAGAAAATGAGAAATAACAGTGGAAAAATTCAACTAAGTTGACTTCAAATATTTTTAAAAGTATGTGAATAAATGCAAGAGTATTTAGATTCTTTCTATGTCAAACCATACTAGGTACACCAAAAAAATCCAGAGATTATGACATAATACATGACACAAATCAAATTTAGTCATGCGTTTCATTGGATTTGTTAGTTACTGTCTTGTGATCAAAGAATGTAGTGCATACAGATAGCATGGGGATTTGCTTTTTGGTTTTTATTAAAAAAAATCATAATACATACTATTTAGCTAGAGTTATGTAGCAATAAACTGAAGTCTACAACATAATATATAAGTTGTAATAATCATCTTTGCTAACCATTGCCACGCCAGCAGAAAAATGTTATATGTACTCCTTAAATTAAAAAAATTTTAGTCTAAAAAAATTCTTACCATCTTTAAAAGTTTTTCTTCTAATTCATGATTTATTTTCTGCATTTTTTTATGACTTTCAAGTAATCTGTAAAATAAATGTTTAAAAAAAAATGCATTTCATAGTCATGAGTTCTATGCACTTTTATTAAAAACTTGTATAAATTATATATCCCCACATAATACATTTTAGAGCCCACTAAATAAAGTAATAAACTTAGTTGCATTTACCTGTCATATCTCTCTCTAAGTCTACTAAGTTCCTCTCTAGTTTTCAGCAACTCAAAATCCATTGCTTGCTTATTGCTGATAAGTTCATGCTCTATGTTAGAAATATGAGAACCACTTCTGTGGAGCTGGCTATGCAGCTCAGCTATCTGCTGATGGAGATCCAGGCTGAAAGAAAAGAGATATTGTTACTAAATGATTATTACTTTTTAGAATTTACTGGTGAGTAATTCAAGTGGTTTGGCATGGCAAAGTGAAAGAGTACATGACTGATAACCCTAAGTCCTGGGTTAGAGTCCATTGGATATCCTCAAGTCCACACACGTCTGATAGATTAGGTACTAGACTGACGTTAGAGCTAGTAAAGTTGGTTGGACCACACTATCCCTGCATATTCCAAGGTCACAGAAACAGAAGCACTATACAGCACTTCCCTTATTGATGGTCAAGTCGAAAAGGTTCTTTTTACTTTCTCATATAGTATAGAGGAAGTATTATAATCATGCACAAAGGGAGCCAGACATTTTCCTGAAAGAAACTTGTCCAAATGCCGTTTGTCCGAAGGCTGATTTCCTAAATGGACACTTGCCTGAATGCGAAAAATGCCCAAAAAAATGTTAATATTATAGTATCAATTATATTACCAATTAAACATTCTTAATCAATTCAACTATGACATTTTGATATTACATTTTGATATTACAGTTATATAAGAGTAGACGAGAAAGTTAAGGGGAGATTACTCCCACTATATTTTATTGGTAACTGCCTGCATGCTAAATCTTGGGCGCTTCCCCGACTACATATAAAAAAGGTTTTGACATTTTTTTGGAGTGTATTGAAGAAAAATAATGTATTTTAGTGGGTTTTCAATATTTCCTAATACTAATAAATAAAACAGACCACAGCAATTGTTCCATAAACAAATTGAGTTCAAGAAAACAAAAGAGAAATAGTAAAGACCATACCCGCTGCTTAAATAAAGTTACAGTGTAGTTAAAATAGCTACACAGTGTTTAAAAATATAGATCCCATTAATGGTGCATTTATTAAGTCCTCTTTAATAGATATCTGCTAAGGATTAAAACAAATAAGCAAATCTAGCTTCTCATTTTTGTATTCTTTGCTTGTCCTTAACTGTTTAAATAATAAATATGTATTTAGTTAGCAGGCTGAGGCCATCCATATTACAAGTAATTCAACTTATATTACCGACCATTACACAATATAATTTGAAACAATTGGTGCAATGGTTCACTGTCCTACATCGTGGCTCACTTATAGTACATCAGGTACGACAAAGATGGTCACTCTTTGAATCTTATTCTTTAAGTTAAAGAGTAGAGTTTGTGACCCTTTACTTACATAAAAACAGGAATGCTAATGAAATAAATCAATTCTACATTTAGAAATGAAGGAGTTAAGCAAGTTATATTAACTTTTATTAAGGTAGTCTAAAAACAATGCTATTAAAAACTAACTTGGAATAAAATGACGCGTTTCCAACTTGACCTTTCAAATGATGCACAACTTCTTACGCTGTAACTTATCTGTATACTTAATTTCTGAATCAGATTTAATAGAAAATACAAGCACTAGCAAGACTCACTAGGAATCAGCTCCACTTCCGCAATTATCACACCGACAACCACATTCCTACAAATGAAAAAAAATAATAATCATAAAATGGTGATTTTACAAACAAAAAAAAACTTAACATTCCTATTATTTCCTAACCTACAGTTACACAGAATTTTCTTGAGCAGAATCAGTGTAAAACTATTAGGCATTGTGTAAACCCTAGATGTTTTCCCTATATTGTTATTTATTTAACTTTTAAACTTAGTAACAAGGACATGAATTACTTTTCAAGAAAAAATGTAAAATTATTTCATGGAAAAATTATTTCTTGCTAAACTCCTATCTATATGGGAATGTATAATAAAAGATTTTTAAAAGATTTGATTTACAATACATTTTTAATGACTACTGCTCAAATTATTATATCTGAAGCAAGTTTTCTAGAAAAAGCAGAGATTTATAAATGGTTTATTTAATATTTTTTTAGAATTTAGGGATCTTAAAAAATATGTGTAAGTTGTAAGCTCTCAAAATTTAAAAAAAATTATTATCTTTAACAAAAAGTTCTTAAATCCGTCAGCACCTATCCTCTCTAAAGATATTTATTTTTAGCCTTCAAAGTTACTCTTTCAAGTTTATAATACTTTTCTTTATTACAAATATCCACCTCAGTTCTACCAATATTTAAAAAATCAATTCTATTGTTTATTTTCTTTAGTTAAAGGATATGATGCTGATATTATAATCTTTAATATGCCTTAATCTCTAAAATTGGAATGTTTAAGACCAAAGACTCATACTCTGTTTTAGCTAATATTAACTGTAGTGTCAGTAATTTAGTAATGTTTCAATTTATTTCTAATAATTAATGTACAATATAAAGTAAAAGTAAAGTTCCCTTTCAAACCTGACAGTCTACGAGGCAAGTGAAGTAGAGTTCACTTGTTACTGTGACCTTGGCATTTGAAGGGATAGTGAGGACAGCACTATGCCTAGCAGCCTTTACTTACCCTAATGTGTGTTAGGTACCCATTAGAGTTGGGCAGACTCAGGGACGGTCTACTGAACCCGAATTTGAACTCGAGACTTACGGGTTAGCAGTCCAGCTCTCTACCACTAAGCCACTACGTCCCATAATTTACAATATAATAAGAATAAAATGTAAGCATTATAGCAGGAAAGAAATTGTAGATAAAGAATTGAAAGAAATCGTTACAGTAGAAATGAGTGAAAATTGTGTTAAAAGTATTAATCACAGACTAAGCTACAAGCATAAAGAGGTTTGTATAAACTAATACATTACTTTACAAATGGATGGTGTCATCTCTCAAAGTAGCTGTAAGTTTAAAGGTTGATATTTTATGCTTGTAATTCCATTTTATAAATTTCACCTGCAAATTTATTTTGAAGTTAATGCATTTTCCACATAAATAAAGATCAGGTATAGTTTCATAAATCGAATGTGGTAACAAGTGGTGTAGCTAGGTTGGGTGTCACCCCCCCCCCATATATATGTAAATATATCTCTATGTATAGACCTATTTATATATATACATGTGTATGTGTTAGGTTAGGTTTGCCTGTTGCCTGTCCTGGGACATATGCCGACGACAAGAGCTTTCCATTTCCTCTGGAGGATCTCTTCTTCAGCTTGCAGTTGATTTGTCCGATGCCAGAGTACCTCATTTCTGATGATTTTAGGCCAGCGTATTCGAAGGATCTTTCTGAGGCGTGAGCTTATAAATGATTGTATTTTCTTCTTATTTGTGACAGTTATTCACCATGTCTGAGCTCCATAAAAAAAAACAAGTTTTACTAGTGTGTGGAAGAACCTGATTTTTATTCCAGCAGGAACAGGAATGGTAAAAGTAGGCAACCCTGCCTTATTCCAGTACGTACATGGGAAGACCTCCCAAGTCTGTTGATCATGCACTACTCTACATTTCAGACCTTCATATGAAGACATAATAATGTTGACTATTTTCTGTGGCACCCCATAGTGTCTCAACAATTTCCACCTTTTCTGTCTATCCAGGCTATCAAAGGCCTTCTTGTAATCTATGAAATTAATATAGAGAGATGAGTTCCACTCTTGGGTCTGTTCAATGATGATGTGCAGGATAGCAATTTGGTCTAAGCATGACCTTTCCTTCCTAAAGCCTGCATGTTGATCCTGAAGCTGGGGGGGTCTATCGCTTCTTTCATTCTGTTTAATAATATTCTTTTGAAGACTTTGCCTGGGATGGAGAAAAATGTTATCCCTCTATAGTTAGAGCAGGTACTAAGATTGCCTTTCTTTGGAAGTTTTATGAGTAGTCCCTCCTTCCACTCCTCTGGTATTTGTTCATTTTCCCAGATTTTCTTGAAGAGTGTGTGTAGTAGTGTGGTGCTAGTTTCTATATCTGCTGTCAGTGCTCCTACCGGTATACCATCTATTCCTGGAGCCTTCCAACTTTTTCTGCTGCTTTATAGCTTTATGTATCTCTTCTTTTAAAGGTGGGTTACAGTATATAGGGAGATAACTTTCAGCTGATGGTATATAGCGTGCAATCAGGTGTTAGTCTATTTTGTTGGTCCTTAAAAATGTTCTGCCCATCTCATCCACTGTAGTATCTTTCCATCTTTGGTCTTCACTGGCCTCTCTGGTTTACTGAACTTCCCAGATATCTTCTTAATTGTAGTGTACATGTCCCTGATATTCCCATGGTACAGTGCTTCTTCTGCTTAACTCTGTTTGTGTTTCCTTTTGCATTTCTTGACACTTTTGTTTGTTTCAGTATATTCTTCCAGGGCTTTTAATTTAGCAGTCAGTGTTTTATGTTTAATGTTGCCTTCTTCCTTTTTCTCTCCTCAATAATTTTCAGAGTATCTGATGAAATCCATTCCTTATTTTGCTTTTTGATGAGGGCCTAGCACTCCCTCACATGTTGATGTAAATTGGTTTTTAGTTTTTTCCCATTTTTCCTTGTCTCTTCCTCTATTAGCTCTTTTAGTACCTGAAACTTGTTGGAAATATGGAGCTTAAATTCAGTTATCTTAGAGGGGTCCTTTAGTAGGACAATGTTATACCTGTGTTTCCTTTTGGCCCAATTATCTGTCTATTGAGCCTACACTCTACACTTAAAATTAAGTTAAAACAGTAATTTAATTGCACTTGACTTTATCTACTTATATTTCAACGGGAAAATAAACTATAGTTTACAGTAAGTAGCGAAATTAAAATGTTTATGAAAATCAACAAACATCACCAGATAATTTCCAACTCTAGATTCTATAGACGTAAGATTACCATTTTTTCACGTCCTGCTAGAGATCTACATTGGTATATCTATAGCTGGGCTATAGGTCTAAAATAATAAGGTAAATTTCTATAATATTTTTTTTTTTAAATTCTTTGGGGCCGCTTTGATGACATTAAGTTTTTTACACACTCGTAGTATAACCTTGTAACAGTTAAATGTAGATGAATGTATGTTTCGAATGTGTATCTTAAAAAGGCGATATGAATATAAAAAATAGGATGGGTGTGTGCATGCGTTAAGGAAAGGAAGCAGAGAGAGGTAGATGGAGCGCGAGGAGGTGACGAAACTGAAAGTCGTGGTTCTAGTAGTGTAGCTACTATATATCTGATATCAATAAAAGACTGTAAAATCACCAATAATGTGGTTTGTATTTGCCTTTAGTTCGTGCCATGAACCCAGTCATACGAAAGGGCGGTGACAAACCTGTACAAAATTTATACTTTTTAGCGCAATTTCCATTCTGGAGAATTGCGTTTATTAACTCGTCATTTCTGGGAATGGATGGATGTGTGTCCGCAGTTTTAAGTCGTATCTCCTCCTCAACGAAGCAATATCGAGGACTAGTTCCAAAAGCAAATATGTTAAGCAAGTTCCGAGGATGATTGTGGGCCAAAAAAATTCCCGGGTTTCCTTCCTGGATTTCCCGGAAAAGCCAAAAAACCTCGAAAAAATGCAGTTTTTGGCCCATATCTCGGCAACCAGACCACTTAGCGACTTGAAACATTTACCAAACAATTCCTGCCATAATTTAGAACAATATTGCCGAAGAAAGTTTTCAAAAATATCCTTCCGTTCGGTCACAAACTTTTTTTTAAAAGCGCGATAACTAAACACCCCCTTCACGTCCGCATTATTTAAAATTACATTATACATAATACATTACAGTACTATATAGCAAAATAGGCAGTGGAAGGCGAAGGAAAGGAGGGTAAATCATGTGACCTGGCTGGCTTAGCAGCGAACTGCGTGAGACGCAGGCGAAGGAGCTATGATTTATCTCGATTTAAAATTGCTTTGTTGAGTTTTTAAGTAATTAGTTATGCGGATTTGGTTGAGTCAGTTAGTTCTATTGTTGCTATTTCTAAATACCCTATATGTAGCTCTATATACAAAATAATTTAATATTAAACTTTTATCGATAAACATCATGGCCGAGTGGAGAATGCTGTGCCACTGAAATCTCACTATTTACTGTTTAAGAACCTAACTAAACTTCGCTTGTACCTGGTAGATCTAAAACAGTCAGTTGTTACAAGAAATAAGGTGCATTAAATGACAAATAAATCTAGCCAAATTATTGGATTTTGGCCTAGTACACATTGTCCCCCGCTTTGTTTTCGGCAAAAAGATAATAAAATGGCATATAGGGGGGTGATATTTCTGATATAGTGACCACAAGTACTGACAAAAGAATTATTCCCAGACGTTGTCATTTATAGAAAGCTAAGACTCTGAACCGTTGTGGCATCATACGCTGGTTAACATACAAAGCGTAGTTTAGAAGTTATTGGATTTTAAGTTCACATTAACACAAGAATAAACAGAGCTACTTTCACTAAAGTGCCGCTTGCGAGATACATAAAGAAATTAGGTCAAAAGTACAACTAACCATTCTAGATTAACAGACTTAATTAGAAACAGGTAGATCTAATTCCGCTAAAATTGAAAACGGTTTCAAAATCATTGGTTTTATCCCTCTACCCCTAAATGAAAACAAAACCTCGCCACCATCTTAGTAAATTGCTTCGAGAGCATGCACCGACAGATACCATAAACAAACAAACAAACCCGGAAGTTGTGAACTGAACGGCCTAGAATTAGATATCGGTCAATATCAGGTATTAAAAGCAGTATCTCAAGATAATAGATATCAATTAAAAAAGAATTACAAAAATTACAACAACAGAAAAGATAGGCCTATGATATTCTATTATTGTTTAGGCCTAACTAAATCTTAATTTTATTGGCTGGTCCGAATAGCGGTCGTGGCTTCGGACCCGTGTTGGTATAGAATTGAATAGATTTGTTTGACTCTTACTTTGGATTATGACTGATTCAGTGATTATGTTTAATTTATGTTATGCAGCAGTCAGTAGTGAGTAGTAGTAAGTAGTAACGAAGTACTTAAGTTTAACTGCATCATCATACGTAACTTATCATTTAGATCTATGTCTTAAGTCTTACTTAACTCTTAAACGACTTAAACTTCTTAAAGTAACGTTTACGTGTTACTGTTAGGTTAGTCGGTTAGAGTTAGTGTATCACGGACTGATGATGCAGCCTTTTGTCACGTTTGATTTTATTAGGCTAATTTATTATTTAGTAGTAGATCTATATACTGATAGAACAACGTGCTAAAAGTCATCACCGTCTGTCCTTGTAAAAATGTTAAATATTTTTTAAAAAAGTACTTTATTGTAGATCTAAATGTTTGATAGTGATATTGTCAATACTGAATACTGTCGACAGTATAAAAGCCATTGTTTATGTTGATTACATTAATAACAGAGGACGCGTTGTCACTTCCGTTAAGTTTGCACATGCGCGTGTGGGTAAATTAGAAAATTCCGTAACAGGGATTCGTTTACGGAGCGGGATATTTAGAAATGGTGGTATTTGTTAATTTCTTACACACGTGCGACATATAATGACATATATACTATAGTATATACTCGTCTAGAAAAAAAAACTTCGCCATTAGTTAATATTGTGACATGTATAGGGCAGGGGGAAGGTGACTACTCACTTATTACGAAGTTTTCATTTGTTTTGTCCTAGACATGCTATGTTACATGTAGATATCTGGACCTATAGGCCTATATAGCCTATATAGTATACGTTATTTACTTTATTATATGTCGCAAGTGTACATGCGGATCAGTGTTTCTTCCAGACTTTTTTCTCCGGGGAGGGGGGCACTTGAAATTTTCGGGGGGGGGGGGGGGCGGTAGACTTTCTTCGGGGGGGGGGGCGGACACTGTTAAAAGTATATATTTTCTATATAAAGTATATATTTTCTATATAAATTATATAAATTTCATTTCGTTCGGGGGGGGGGGGGGGGGCGGATTTATTTCAACTTTTTCACGCACGCCAATGCCGTGTGATATAAAATTAGATGTTTCGTTGACCTAAAAATTAATCCATTTCCTTTAAAAAAAATCCCTTTTTTTTCTGCTCAATTAAGCACACATACATTTATTTGGTAAGGGACGGCGTGGCCTAGCTGTTGAACGCTAGACTGCAACCGAATACGGGTTCAAGTAAGTAGTACGTCCATGAGTCCACCCAGCTCTAGTGAGCATCTAACTCACTTTAGGGAAAGTAAAAACGGCTAATCATAGTGTTGACCACATTATCCCTTCCAATGCCGAGGTCACAGAAACAGGCTAACTTTACTTCAATTGCCCAATGGAACGAAAAGGAACCTTTATTTTACGTTCAATGGTGCGCAATTCTTTTTTTCTTCCTGATTATATTATATTTAAACCAGCTGCATACCCATGCTCCGCCACGGTGAATCTTTTTTTAAATGTACCAACTTGGGAACAGAATAAAACTAAACACAAACACAAAAGAAAAAACAAACACAACGCAAACACAACACAAACACAAAAGAAAACACAAAAACAAAAGAAAACACAAACAGAATATAAACCCAATGCAAAAGCAAAAAGCAAAAATACAAACGCAACACGCAAACACAAAAGAAAAAAAAACACAAACACATGCTAATTATAATATTTATTAAAAAATTATGTCTTCTTGCACGTCCGCAGAATTTGCATTCACATTTTTTTATTAGCCTGAGTTGAATTCTTTTTTAAATTACCTCCCTTGGCAAAATTATATATTTTAAAAAAATAATTAGTTTTTCTACCCTACTGTTATTAAAATGTATCCAAATTTTACAAGCTTTTATTCAATTCACAGTCTCTGTCTGTCGTCAGACTAGATCGAAACGCCCGAGCGAAATTACGGGCACTTCTTACTGACAGATACGGGTCGTAGTTCGTACGTGGGTCAAAACATGAACACAAATTTGAATTAATTGGTTGCCTAGATATTTTATTTTAAATCAATTAAAATTTTGTCCAAACTAGTAGGCTGTCTCATTAAACTATTCCGCGCTATTAGACACGAGTCATCACGTTCATTAGTTGCGCGTGGTTTTTAGTCGTGCAACTCTATTGTAAATTTAAAAAAAAATAAAGTACTAAAAAATAATTAATAAAAAAACGTTTTAATAACAAACCTTTATGTAATAATGCACTATAAAGTAGAAAATAAATTATACACTACTATTTAAATAACTATAATAAAGTGACCCACGCTTTTCTTTATTATAGTTATTTAAATAGTAGTGTATAATTTATTTTTTACTTTTTAGTTTAAATTATAGGCTTATAATTCACATGTAACCGGTACCGACGGCTAGTATATATAGGCATATATATATATATATATATATATATATATATATATATATATATATATATATATATATATATATATGTAAAGAGAGAGAGAGAGAGAGAGAGAGTCAAGAGATCAACCGGCCGTGACAAACAATTCACCCTCGATGGCCAGATGATCGAAAGATCATCCGTATTTAATCGTGGTATCCCTCTTTTAATTTTTGAATAGGGGTCATCCATTAATGATGTCACGCTTTTTTAATGATTTTTACCTCCCCCCCCCCCCCTCCGTCACATATCGTCACATAAAGCCAGACCTCCTCCCCTAAAATGACGTCACACCTCAGCCTACACCCCCCCCCCCCCCCTTAAAATTGCAGTTGAATTTTTTTTTAAACATCGATATTTTTCCAAAATATTGTATGAACTCTGTCAAAATAGTGTATTTTAATAAATTCCTATTACAGTTTATTAAAACAGTTTTCTAAAACGCGAAATAAAGTCTAAAATTCTTTTTCTAACATTGCTTTTTTACAATGCAAAAGTGTGACGTCGCACCATCTAAACCCCCTCCCCCCTGTCCCCACAAATGTACGGACCCCTCTTCCCCCTTCGAGTGTGAATTTATGGACGACCCAGGGGGTCGGCGTGGTCGAGTCGGTAAAGCTCATGGTTGCTAAACCGAAAAGTCTCGAGTTCGAACCCTCGGGCAGATGAGGCTCGTTAGCTGGGGACAGCCACTTCAAAATTAAACAACTGCTGCCTTGTAGTTTGTTCTTGGTTGGACAAAGGCTATGGAAGCAAATCCAAAAAGAAAAGCAGGCTGAAATCGGAGTCAATGGCCTCAATGGCGCATAACCAGTTGACACGTAACGCTTAATTGTGTTGGAGGCGTGGTCGAGTCGGCAAAAAGCTCATGGTTGATAAATTCGAACAAAGTCTCGAGTTCAAACCCACTGGTCGATAATTCTCGATCCCCTTCAACACTAATTATTAAGAACGAAGAAGAAGAAGAAGATGGACGACCCAATATAGTAATTTTAAAATAGAATTTTAATGAACACCCTTAAGTTTAATTACATTAAAAAATAGAAAACCCTCTATTGGCATTTGAAAGTTGGAACGAAATCGCCGCTTAGAAATAAGGTAAAAAGTAAGCAACAAGATTTGCCACAAAAACACAAAAAGTCAACAGATATTGGGAACTAAGTAAAATCGTGTACAAAATAAACGTTTAATTTTTCTCAAAATTTGTAACATAAGGGAGACTACTGTTAAATCTCTTTAAAAGTTTTCATCTCAGGGTTAACCCCCTTTAAATTTAATTAAAAAGCTATAAATTATTTCAAAATGATGTTCAATGAACGGCATCTTGAATACAAGTAGGTCAGTCAATATGTACTAATTTTTTTTGCAGCAAGCCTACCACTCCTCCTCCCCCACTCACACACACAATTAAAAAAATGTGAGGCTTGATCCGCCTACATTTGATGTAGAACTTGTAGAAGTGCTAAATAAATGTTTGTTTACTTAAGTATCCGACCTAAGAATCAGGACATTATTTACAGAGTTTCTTCCAGGCATCGCTTCGGAGGGGGGGGGGGGGGCAAAGCCTCCCCCCCCCTGTTGCGAAGTGAGTTTCGGTATGGGTCGATGCTGAACGTGACGAACAATAATAGATGACGACGATCCAAAAAGAGAACACTGAACGACGCTACGATGTTTCCATCTTTTATTACATATAATATCAACAGCTACATAGACGATAGACGGGACGACGACTTCTATACATCTTCACAAGACGACGACAAGACCAAGACTAACTCTCAACTATCTTCCTAACAACGAAAACATTCTCTCTTACGTCACATCCTTATTTATTCATGCATTCATAATCTTTTATTAATACCGCTACACACATACTCTCAAACCATCCACAACTATATTAACTCTATTCAACTACACACATACTCTCAAGCCATCCACAACTATATTTACTCCATTCAACTACACACATACTCTCAAACTCATTCCATACACTTAAGTCCATTCACAACATACCCCTCTCCTTTCTTCAGCTGAAAATACATACCAGAACTATCAAACTATTTTCAGCTTCAACTTCATAAGACATGCATCCATACAATATGTTAAACAAATATATACATGCAATATGCAACAAAGACAATGTTCTGTGGTCCATGGTTCTTCATCACCGTCGTCAGTCAACCTGAACACACAAATCTTTTGGTCCCAACCAACACCTTGTCCACACACATCTTTTGGTTTCTTGTCTCTGGACATCAACACAAGCTATAAGAAAAATAATCCAGGACCAACATGTACCCAAACTATACAATAGCTTCTAATTTAAAATTAACATTGTTGAGCACCTCTTCCTGTAATTAAAATATAATATTACTACCAAATAGCAAAGTCACATAGCTTCTAAAAATGTGAAAATTAAATCACAACTAATATTTACAATCAATATGATTTGGCCATACATTATATAACTCAATTGATCCTTAAGCATAAAAAAAACTACTATCCAACAATCAGGAAATCAACGGTTCAAGCAAATACCAGCACTCCATATTTAAACCAATTACCACCTAAAGATATTATAGTCAATCCATACAATGGAGTACACCAATGAAATAAATTAGAACCATCAACACTTCCAATAAGCCAATACAATATCACATAGAGGAGTATTTCCCGTGAACCCCCAAACACAACAACCAGGTACTCGGCACAACCTCGAGATACCAAAAAATAACGCGGACTGCATCCTCAGTCTCGCAAAACAAAATCATTATCTAGCGAAGATCAATTATCTCAAAAAAAAAAAAAAAACAACACTAAGCTAATGGGTTCATTATCCAACCACGAAAATCAAACCTCTTAG